CGAATTCAAGATAGCCCTCACCAATAGGTTCCAGGCCTTTCAGGATCTACTCAATGGAGAGGAAGCAACATTGGAGAACAATTGGAAAGGGATTAAGAAGGCAATCACTTCAACATGTCAGGAGGTCCTTGGTCGCAAGAAGCAGCATCATAAGGAATGGATCTCTGTTGATACTCTCGCAAAAATTGAAGAAAGGAGGAACAAGAAAGCAGCAATCAATGTCAGCCGAACAAGAGCGGAGAAAGTTACCGCACAAGCTGCATACACAGAAGCAAACAGGGAAGTGAAGAAGAGCATCAGAGCTGACAAACGAAAATATGTGGATTATCTAGCAATGACGGCGGAAAAGGCTGCAAGAGAAGGAAACTTGAGACAATTGTACGAAACTACAAAGAAGCTCGCCGGAAACTATCGTAAACCAGAACGACCAGTGAAAAGCAAGGAAGGGAAAATAATCAGCAACACTGACGAACAGCGAAATAGGTGGGTGGAGCACTTTAAGGAACTATTGAATCGACCAGCTCCACTGAACCCACCCAACATCGAAGCAGCATCCACGGACCTCCCAATTAATATTGGTGCACCTACGATTGAGGAGATCAGTATAGCCATCAGACAAATCAAGAGCGGCAAAGCAGCAGGACCAGACAACATTCCAGCAGAGGCGATGAAAGCAGATGTGGAAGCAACTGCGAAAACACTTCAAATCCTCTTCAAGAAGATTTGGGATGAGGAACAAGTACCATCAGATTGGAAAGAAGGATACCTGATCAAAATACCAAAGAAAGGCGATCTCAGCAAGTGTGAAAACTACAGAGGCATCACTCTTCTTTCAATACCAGGCAAAGTCTTCAACAGAGTATTGTTAAACAGAATGAAGGACTTCGTAGACGCCCAACTTCGAGATCAACAGGCCGGATTTCGTAAGGATCGATCGTGTACTGACCAAATTGCTACATTACGGATCATTGTGGAACAATCAATTGAATGGAACTCACCACTCTACATCAACTTCATCGACTACGAGAAAGCATTTGATAGCGTGGATAGGAAAACACTGTGGAGGCTTCTTCGACACTACGGTGTGCCTGAGAAAATAGTCAACATCATACGGAATTCTTATGATGGATTCAACTGCAAAATCGTGCACGGAGGACAGCTAACCGACTCTTTCGAGGTGAAGACCGGTGTCAGGCAAGGTTGCTTACTCTCACCCTTTCTCTTTCTCCTGGTCATCGACTGGATTATGAAGACGTCAACATCTGGAGGGAAGCACGGTATCAACTGGACAGTTAGGACGCAGCTGGACGATCTGGACTTCGCAGATGATCTGGCTCTTCTATCGCACACGCAACAACAAATGCAAGAGAAGACGACCAGTGTAGCAGCAGCCTCTGCAGCAGTAGGTCTCAACATACATAAAGGAAAAAGCAAAATTCTCCGATGCAACACAACATGCACCAATCAAATCACGCTTGATGGAGATACCTTGGAGGACGTTAACACCTTCACATATCTTGGCAGCATCATCGACGAGAAAGGTGGATCGGATGCAGATGTGAGGGCGCGGATTGGCAAAGCGAGGGCTGCATTTCTACAGTTGAAAAATATCTGGAACTCCAAACAGATATCAATCAACACCAAAATAAGGATTTTCAATACAAATGTGAAGACAGTTCTACTGTATGGAGCGGAAACATGGAGAACTACCAAAGCCATCATCCAGAAGATACAAGTGTTTATTAACAGTTGTCTACGCAAAATACTTCGTATTCGTTGGCCAGACACCATCAGCAACAACGAACTGTGGGAGAGAACAAGTCAGATTCCAATGGAGGAGGAAATCAGGAAGAAGCGGTGGAAATGGATAGGACATACACTACGAAAAGCACCCAACTGCGTCACTAGACAAGCCCTCACATGGAACCCTCAAGGCAAAAGGAAAAGAGGAAGGCCAAGGAACACACTACGCCGAGAAATAGAGAAAGATATGAGAAGAATGAACAAACATTGGACAGAACTGGAGAGGGAAGCCCAGGACAGAGTTGGTTGGAGAAAACTGGTGAGCGGCCTATGCTCCATTGGGGGTAACAGGCGAAATCTGATCTAATCTTCCATCGATTGACCTTTTAAGTATGACGATATCATCGAAATCTCACACACAAATCTTAATGTGTAAATCGAACAATTTTCATTCTTAACTGTGTACTTATTTGCATAGTACAGACTGATCTATGTTCATTCCTTGTGATGAACTCATGATTGTATACTGCGATGAATATTGTTTAAATGAGCAGTCATCAGAACGAATATCCAATGTTATAATTTATAACGAATTTATCCAAATAATGATTATCTAATATTTCGACATCTTCAACTTATTTTTGAGATGTAGTTAAGCTCATTACTTATAAGAGGTTATTTTGTTGAAAATGTCTGATGCAACAACTTTGTTGTAATTGTCAAACTGATATGATTTCATTACAGCTTGTTACGTTCGTCACTAGGTATGCTTGAAGCTATTACGAGTTCAACTTAGTCGATAAACGAGAACGAGACAATGAACCAGTGTCCAGGTAGGCTACTCTGATCCCAAACTGCAAAACAGAAGTCTTGATAAGCGTAGAAAGTATATTCTACAAACACCCAGCAATCACAATACAATCAAGCACATAACTTTCGTTTATTTATACATCATAGAAACGTCATTGGGATAGTCACAAAAATAGCACACTAAAATACACAGCAGCTAATCACAACCAAGGATTTTCCTGGTGGGAAATGAAATCTCACGGTCAACTGCTCAGCCCATGCTCGCAAAAGTGAAATCCAAGATAAGTCATTTCTGAAGCGAGTTCTAGGGCTCTAACATCCCCAACACAGCTATATGCAAAAGGTTTTGGAATCATAAAGAACAGTTAACACAAATGCACACTCAACGGTTAAACCGACTTGGCCGACTCAGGACTTAGACAGCAGGCAACTTGATTTCAAGCATTCAAAGATGGTGATTTACGAGGACACTAAAAATATTCACATAGCTTGGACGAACTACCTGTCAACTGACCATCGATTTTCTCATCGAATCATCAGCGGAAGAAACTGGTCACCTTAGTATACGATTGACGTTCAATCCGTCGACGCTTATAAAAGAAACTTAGATCAATGCACAGCCCGATATTGTCAGGACTAACATAAGCCACATAGCTTGCTGTCATTTCCAAAATAAATCATCATATGATGGTATATAGGGTTTGAAGAGATTGAAGTAATTCAATAGTTCAGCTTAAACATTGACGTTCTCGAACGAGACTAGAAGTCGCGTGTTCGATCGCCTGCGGAGTAGTCAAGTATGACCATTACTGAAGAGTTCTAAATTAGTCCTAAATGTTCTTCCAGTGCGTCTTGGTTTTCGTTGCCGGTCCAACTAAAATCAGTTCATGATTTAAACTACTAAAACATAATTTCACAGGAAGTTTTCGTAACAGAATAAAATCCCAATGATACCCCTGCAAACGGAGAAGCACTAGATAACTATTTCTTTTTGTCATGGGATTCCTCAACAGAAGGCACCCTCACTTGTGTCAAGACTAGGGCTCAGGACTTTCAGGGCCTATGGTGAGTGGATAACGGTTAGTATCCGATGGTCCTCATTCCGTTACTTGATAACTCAAAACGATGTCAAATCATGACGTGAAAGTTATGTGCAAATTAAAGTGACATCCATAAAATCCTTAACCAATATATATATATATATATATATATCAATACCCTTCTTTTAATAGTACATTTTAAAATTAAAAAAAATCAATACTGTGAAATGTTCATCAATGTAAGAATCATGTGAATAATACTTGCCAAGCGGAATGTTTCTACATGAATTTACGATAGAATTTACTATACTATACGTCAATGTATTATTCTATTTCTCGAAGTACTGTTTGTCACATTAAAAGTGATTATTTCTTGCCATTACCTAATGCTTATTTGAAGTTATAACTTCTACACAGTCAGATACATTTATTACACTCACAACTTATCTTCTTCAGTCCAAAAATAATTATCTGTACATAACGCTATCTTTAATAACCTGAAGAAAGCGAGAACACTGAACAACGACCATTGTTAAACCGCCGATAAAACCCTAGATGCATTACACGGCCGCTTCGTTCTAGTATATGACTCATCAGTAGTGCTCATCCATGACCCCTGCTCGCGAGATGTCGGGCTGGTGGGTTCGAATACTGTGAGTAGCGTGAGTAGTGGATGCGCATAGCTGATGAGTCCCATAATAGGATGAAGTGCTTCTAAGTTTTAAAGGTCGATTCATTATTTCAATGAAACTTAACAATCTTCACAACTCAATAATGAAAAATATTTAGATTAGATTTGAAATTCACTTGTATTAGAACGATGTGCGCGCTGAACACAAAAATCATGGTTTTTATATCTTTGAGTAAATCAGGCTTATCTTCTTCGAAATATTGACCATTTACTACAGTATAATTATTCCACTATTGTTTTGAGTGATTGAAAATTACCATTTCGCATTTTGTGACAAAAAATATAGGAAGCCTTGTTGGGTTATTTCTGCTACGATGATCTAGCAAATCGGTCGAATTATTATAGTCTAAGAACTCACCGAGAATCACCGTTAAGTATGTAGATGGACTGTCATGATGCGGCAGTTACCTGACATAGCTACATAAATATGAATGCTTGTAACCTACAATATCATATAAGGGAATCACAGAGCCCCACGACGAGCATCTGACCTTCAGAGCATTGAGCGAATTCACAATATTTGCCTTAGACTTATAGCTGTTAGAAACTCTAGTTTTAGCACAAATGATGCTAATTCAAATCAACCTTTTCTTTATAGTAAGTTTTGTAATGATAATTTTGAGAGACTGCGTGTTGGTTTGATTTAAATTTGAAATTAAGTACTGAACATCTCTTCATTTGTTATTTCCAAAAACTTTATTTTATAAATTTATCAGTTACTCAATTTCAATGTCATTCAATGTGGAAAAGTCGTAATTTGAACTATGTTCTCATTTATCGACAAATAAATCAGTTTACTTATGAATTTTATCAATTGGTAAGTGTATATATAATCAGGTGAGACTTTTCTAAGTTAATGTATTGTTTCTTTGATTCTTTGATTCAGATTCACATTTGATGCTGAATACATTGTCTTAGATGACATTCATTACTAGTCGAAACCTGTTGGGGCTCCAGTTGAAACCAGGAATTAGTAAATAGGCTTTTAGTTTTAAAACGGTACCATTAATTAAAGAACCAAGAACCTTTAGATCTATTGATCGATACATTGAATTCGGCTGTTAGTCTGCATTGTTAGCTCAAATCAATTTGTACTATAGATTGATGAAAATCATTTGATGTACTTTATATCTGTTGTACCAAAGTTGTTGTTTTTTTGAAACCTTGTTTGCTTGACATCTGGCATGGTCGTAGGTGTACAATGATCTATAGTTTCGTACTTAAATAAAACGACTGTTCAGTGTTATCCTTCTTTGGTGAAAAACTAATATGAAACCGTGGGGAAAAATGAAGCAAATAGTGAACAGATCCCCTCAGTGTACAAAAGATTTTATGACAGTAAGTAAGTAAGTCAGTATATTAGTTGAATTAGGTTTACTTATAACTCGGATAAACATTGATTTGATGGGTTTGAAGTTTGTCAATGTTTGTTGGAAGGTTGAATTTGCTTTTCGTTTGAAAGCAAGGTGCTATTTGAAGAGCTTAGAGACTGGACCTTCCTGGTGGTAGATTATTTATAACACTGTAGATTGTTGAGTATGACTGAAGCAGTCATGATTCGACCGGTAGTTTTAACTGAACACATAAATATTTTCTTATATATAATGGTAGGCGGGGGGAATAGGAATGATTTTTTAATATATGAAAGTAGACTCATAAAACACTGATTAGCGTAATCTACTCCATAGTCTTTATAATTAACATAGTGTTAGGTTCGTCACTAGGTATGCTTGAAACTATTACGGGTTCAACTTAGTCGATAAACGAGAACGAGACAATGAACCAGCGTCCAGTTAGGCTACTCTGATCCGTTGACCCAAAAGGACTAACGAAAAGTTTTGATACTATAGCGTAGAAAGTGTATTCTACAAAAACCAAGCAAGTACAATGCAATCAAGCACACAAATCGCGTTTATTTATACATCATAGAGACGTCCTTGGGGTAGTCATAAAAATAGCACACTAAAATGACACAGTGACCAATCACAGCCAAGGATTCTCCTGGTGGGAAATGAAGCCTCAAGGTCAACTGATCAGTCCACGCTCGCAAACGTGGAATCCGAAATAAGGCATTTATGAAGCGAGTTCTGGGGATCTAACGTCCCCAACACACAGGACCCTATGAAAAAGCTTGTCAATATCTCTAAAACACACTACACTGACTAAATGAAATCCACGAATTGAATAACAAATGAATTGTAATAAGTAGTATTGTTGATAGTTTTAAGATGAACTAAATATTAGAGAAAATCGTATGGAATTATATTGATATTCATGATTTAAAGAAAGATCAAGATGACCAAACATTTAACATTTAACACCAAAGATTTCCAGCCATTTTTTTGAACACATTTAGTTGCTTGAATCTAGAACAAGCTTGAAATTGTTCATTACGGAATAATTAACCAGTTTGTCGGATAAATAAATCTCCACGCTTCAGTATCTAGAAGTATATCATCACGAATTACTTACTGTTGTTTATATGAAATGAACAATTTTGTGAAAATTTTCAAATCGTGTCATTTTTAATTTTATTCAAGGTTTATGTACAATTACCAGTTGAATTATCAACAGAATCAAAAGTTTATGGAAAATTTTCACCGATATGGATAATTTATGGTTTACAATTGGATAAAACTATTGAACAATTAATAATTAGTCGTAGTTATTATACATGGAATTCCACTGAACTCTACAAACCTAAAACAAAAAATGTTTTTTTACATAATATAAATTCTAAATTATATGAATTGCAAATTCGCAGAGCATGTAAGTGTTAGTAGAATTGTAATGACTTGTAAAAAATAGAACTTTTTCCCCCCATACAAAATAACACCTATATAAATGCTTTCAATCATCCATCAGTCAAGTCAAGTCAATCAATTACAATGTAGAACTTCGTACGTAAGTACATGAGTTCACGTTGCTATATCACATTAGCACACAGATATAATTGTCACTTCACATCCCATAGTAGTAGAGGAAGTAAAGGTATTAGAAGTAATCAGAGAAATTAGAGTTCGAAGATGAAGTAAGAGTAGAAGATATCCATAGGTTACTAGTCTTCGATCATCGGTGTCTCCGAAGCATTGCTCGTGTATCGTGAGACAACCGTATAAGCAATGCTGTCGTTAGGAAACGAGTTCTAGGCAGAAATGGCAAATCAATAGATGAAGTAGTGAAACTTCATCAGTTGAGGTGGTTGGGACAAGTGTTACGTATGCCTAACCACCGACTGCCTCGTCGAGCTATGTTTTGCGATATAGGAATTAGTTGGAAGAAAGCTTGGGGCGGCCAGACCAAAACATGGCACAAATCTATAAAGTCACTGACAAATGGACTAAATCATGTCGGTAGTTGTCGACTAACTGGTTGGGGTCTGCGATATGATAATAATCGATGGTTAGAGACCCTGAATGATATGGCTCAAAATCGTTTGCAATGGCGCAGATGCATCCACTCCTTGAGTACTATAAAATTCTAACCTTCTGAATTCCTCATAATCTCTACCTTTCTCCTTCTAAATTTATCTTACTGAATTATACTTCTCGAATCATATCTTCGCTCCCTAATCTTCTCCATAACTGCTAATACTTCTACTGTTATTATCACTCTTGGATTTGAACTGACAGTTACATCTCTGTGCTGATGGGGCATGGCAACCTGAACTGATGTACTTACGTACGAAGGTCTGAGTTGTATCTGTCTGTCTGTCTGTCTGTTTACCAAAGTCTTATGAATCATCCTGTAAGTTCAGAGCACGCAAAGCTTGTTATTCAGCTCCCAAATCGTTTATTTTTGATCGCTCTGCAATAGAAAGAAAACAGAAAGGGTGATTTTGACTCCATTACAATGGCACCATTTGAATTTTATATGATTCATTGTTCAATTTATTACTGTATGTCAGAGAAGTGCAATAATTAAAACAATATTTATTCAAACATTAAGTTACATTTATTTTAAATTGTTAATCAACATAAATCATATATAACTTAACTAATTTCTCAAAATTGCACACTTATCGATAACGTCATTAGAAAAATATCCAGTCTAGAATGTTTAAAGTATTAGAATGCAGTAATAGAATTAATCAGATGACAAAAAATAGATTGATGAAGAAAAGAAGTAGCTAAATCTTTGATATTGTATTTTCTTTTTTTGGAATTTATAAGTTTAATTTAACTATTTTGCAATAGAACAACACAGATATAAGCGAACAATAATGTCGTTTTCGATTAGATCATCGTTATCAGGCTTTACTCTCTAATATACATGAATATTTATCTGAAACTGTTAAACCAATCAAGGCCATATCCGGCCAAGGAACAGATAGGCTTCTGCTACGTGTAGGAGACGGAATTGAACTCCATTGGGACATGACTGAGGTATACGATAGATCATCCGAAAAGATCTAGATTTATCTACAATATGACTACTATTAAATAGGTGTGCTAAGATAGAACTGCGTATTGTAATTGACTGACCCTTCTTAAACCATGCTGAGAGATGTTCACTCATTCGTTGGTTAAGTTGCCTGGTAGTACGCCCGATATAGCTATCTCCACAGGAACAGCTGAATTTGTAAATGCACATAGATTGAGGTCAACTCACATAACTTATCCTTCGTTTGGGTAGACATCGCTGGTCGACTTGAGAAGGTCAACGCAAGTTTGGCTACGTTGAATGTTCTACTAATTACTCTCATTAATCTGTCCTGCAGAGTATCGCAGGCCACATCTCTGTTGAATTGTAATTTAATAAATAATGGCTTCTTCCGAATGGTCGAAGTCTCCAGCTTCTTTTTTTTGATTGTACATATACTGCATTAAGAACGTACTAGGATAGCCGATTTTGTAATACTTTACAATAGAATTCTGATGTTTACTGTATCAGTGTTACGTTTCACTAATCAAAAAGTATGTTCGCTGTCTAAATTCCTAAACTGTGTGAACAGTTGGTGATCCTTGTTGTTATTAATCGACATGAAAAGCTTATTCTTTATCAGGTAGTTTCAAAACATATTCTATATTGAAAGCATAAATTAATTGTAAGTTACTCTTTATGATTACTAGCAACAAAGATATCAGTGAAGAATTACAAATACACAGTTCCAGCTGTTTCATTGTATCTATGGTACATTTGTGAACTAACCTTCAGCCTTTTTATAGAACAAATGTACCGATCAAATCTAGGACGTGTGTTTCGTCCTATCTGCTACTCTTCAGTTAAATGTACATGCTTTCCAGTGTTGTTGATGAATTCATTTCAAACGTCCAAGGTATCATTGATTGAAGTATTAAGTTCAGTTAGCTACTCAGTTGTGCAGCGAGCATAATATTTATGTCATTATAAGGAAGGATGCAAGTTTCACTCATCAGGTGGATTCATCTGTATTTCAAATTTTATTTTACTTTTCTCATTGTTATTAAAAATTTATATTTTCCTTTTCAGTTGGAAATTGTGATGATGAACGTGTCAGTTGTATTCATGGTTGTGAATTTAATGCCAGAAATCAATTTTTTTGTCATAGAAGTTGTCTAGTTCCTGGACGTACATGTGGTAAGCTTTATTTGAATAGGATCCTCCGATTAAGGTTTCCCGTTGATTGGCATTGTAAGATATTGAGTTTAATTAAATCTGTTCAAAAGATAAAACTTTCAATTTGTGATCATCATTATGTTTATGATATTCAAATAAAGTGAAACAAGTCCCATTCCTCGTCAACGAGGATATGGCCATGTTATTGTTGATTTTTTTCAATTAGAGTTATGGAGATTAGTGTCCCCAGCCCAGTGGTCCAGAGGTTAGGCGTTCGCGCACACGACCGAAGATCCCGGGTTCGAATCCTGCAAGGTGAAGGAGTCATGGGCGCGCACTGCTAATGAATCGCATACCAGGAAGAGACGGCCGTCCAATACTTCCAGGTTTCTAATAGTGATTGATGATTTCAAATTGTTGATTCTACCGATGAAGACCGATTTCGGTGAAAAAGGAATAACATTAGGGATTTGGTATTTCCAATACACTTTACATACATTCTCCTCGCCAATCTATAATCTAGTAATAATAATGTTATATAGTATAGAAAATTGTTGTAACGCTTAAAAACCTAGAGTTCAGAGCTTGATGAGAAAGTGGATCCATATATATTTAAGTCTCATAGTTGGGCATAGTTTGAAGGGTTTGTCGAGTTAAAGTCATTCCGTTGTACTAACTACAATAGTGAGTATTGAGAACATCTATACATATCGTATATTACACATACAAAAATGTTTCAACGTAAAAAAAACCCGTGTGATAATCAACAAATACGTTTATACAGTCAATTATTTCAAAAAGAATTGTATGCATATTCTAGACGAGTTAACAATATTAATTAAAATAAAATACTAAGTATTATTGTCCTTAATAACTTGATTCAAAGTTTTTGAAGCGGTTTCAAATCCCAAGGCATACTTGAAATAGTTTGAATGGCTTGTTCCGGTTAACGTTGGGACTGGAAATAACCCTAAAACTGCTGCAAGCGGAGTTATTCAAAGGTTTTAGCCAACAATTTTCTCAAGAAAACTAAAACACTAGTTATACACATTAGGTCCGATGAAATTTCCCATAGATAAAAAGTTGAAATAAAATTGTTTGAAATATTAACCTAAACCGTCGTGTTTTCATTGTTTCTTCTGGTTTGAATAATCAAAACGATCAACCTTACTCGATATTATTGATTGTTCCCGTTATCCATCAGCAGTTTGTAATAAACACATTTCGAATTGCACAAAACTCACCAACTGAATCTAATTGTGTGCAGATCTATTAGTTTTGTCACAATGATGATATTTAGAATTAGCTGACTATCATTTATTACAAGATTTTCAAGTTTCACTATCGTATTTTATACAGAAGAGATACCATGGCACTAGAATTTTGTCTGATCTGTAAACAGATATTGTTCGTTCTAATTATTCAAACCAACGATGATGGTGGATAAAGCAACTCAAGCTTTACGGTCTAACAATAATAATGCATCTTTATTTCTGCTGATTAAACTACTTGTAAAAATTAAGTAGCTTATCATTACAATAAATATATCGCCGAAGGTTCGTAATGTATGTTCCTACACATTTGAAATCATCAATCAATCACTGTTAGATCAACATTAGAAACCTGGAAACACTGGGTGGCCGTTTCGTCATGGTATGGGACTCATCAGCAGTTCGCATCCACGACTCCTGCTCCTCACAGGATTCCAACCCTGGACCTTCGGTATTGTGTGTGAACGCCTAACCATCTGACCACTGGGCCGGCATCCAACGGTGTTAATGTCTAACTCCGATTGATCTAGGGATTTTGCGCGACCTCCAGAACTCTGCTTGAAACTATCGTAACAGTGCTCACTAGTGACTAGTTTCGTGAGGAAATTGTCGGAGTTCTAGTTGAGAAGACGTGACCAATGGAGTCGGGTGTAGGCAGTGAGGTCGCTCAAAATCCTTAGATCAATCAGAGTTAGGCATTAACCCCGTTGGATACCAGCCTACTGGTCCAGAGGTTAGGCATTGGCGCTCAAGACCAAAGGTCTCGGGTTCTAATCCTTAAAGATGAAGGAGTCGTGGTTGCGCAGTGCTGATGAGTCCCATACGAGGACGAAACGGTCGTCCAGTGCTTCCAGGTTTCCAATGGTGGTCCAACGATGATTGGCTGATGATTTCAAATGTGTAAAAACACAAACCTCCAATACTCTGCCTGAAAATAATGTACGTCCATTCGAGCGCATTGGTTGATTCAATCAACAGTACTTGCTATGCAGTTAGTTCATGAGAACAAAGATCACACTTAAATTCTAGGTCATGTTTCTTTTTATCAATTCATTATGATGATTAACATTTGTTGAATTTTATGATATCTGTATAATATCACATTAATAATAAAAGCTCTTTCTTTTTTTTACTGTTCAATTATAGATAATATAAATCATGATTCGTGTAAATTCCATACAAATTATCAAGGTACGTGGGATCTTATTGAACCAAGTTCAATACAAGAATCAATTGGTTATGAACATCCAAGCAGTCGTTTAATAGCACAATTTTCTATTCAAAACAATAGATTATTCATATCTTCAATGACTGACACATCATTCACTATGAATTTGTATTGTGTTAAAGAAATGCAAGAATCACTTTATGATCGTTATATTATAAGAAGTGATTATCAGCCAAATGGATGGTAAGTTGAAGTAAACTTGATAAAAGTTGAATGACATGATGAAAATTTAGCATTATCACACAGAATTGACGAAACCGTTGTCAAAACGTTTGAAAATTAAAAAAAGTCATAGCTTTGGCCTTGAAATTTATTTTTAGTAGTGTTGCGCCCCTTGAGCTGCTCTATATGACTTCATTGGAAGTTTTATTGACCTACTTGATTATGATTACTGGTTACTTATTAAAGTAAAAATTAGCTTTTCATTATTCTACAAGTTCTTAGGTGTTGTTTTTGCTATCTTAAGGTACCATCTTATTTGGGAACGCTAATACGAAATTGAATCCATACAAATTAGACTGACAAAGTGATTACTGTATGCAAGAACATTTTGACGCTATTTAATCAACAAACGAAAGAGGGAGAGAGGGAAAAACCACCACTTTCAGGAGAGTTTTATAGTCCCAAACCGTCCTATGAGAAAACTTGATTGATAAGACTTGTCGGTTCATTGTATTCCAAGTCGAGGCTTACCAATTTATGTGGGATGTGTTTAACTCGAAGTAGGGCTCACTACTTTAGTGGACCATGGTTTGATTCGTTTATTGATGACGTTCGAGTATGTCATGAAATAAACCTCCCCTTCAGTTTCCGTATATCACACTTAGGCGAACCTCGTTTTTGCAGTGGCGGTAATTAGAAGCCAAATGCGGACTCGGTTGGATGAGTCGTTCGTTCATGCATTCGTTTAAGCAGACAGATATGATAATGAAAAGTATGCAAGCAGAGGGAAGTGAAGTGGAGAAGGTGAGACAGTCAACTCCATCTCAGTTCGCTTCGCTTTCAAGCTACATATTCTCCTGTCTGTCTGCAAGAACCATTGCTTGAAACTAACTCATAAAACCGAGTCCGAATTTGGCTTCTAATTACCGCCATTGCAAAAACGAGGTTCGCCTAAGTGTGATATGCGGAAACTGAAGGGGAGGTTTATTTCATAACATATTCAACTGTTCGTAAATATAAAGTCATATCACAGGCCACTAAAATGGTGATTACAACGACGAAAATTATTCAGCTACTAAAGACTAAACTCATTTAAATGCCGAATAAATTCAGTGATTATCAAGGGTAGATATAATAAAGTTGAACAGTTGTCACTTGAATGCAATAACACAATGAATGTATACATTACAATGGCTTCTTCATACAGATTAATGAACAGTCATCACACTTGAATGAAAATCACATTTTAAATCAATACATGGTCATTGACTTATTAAATTGTATTTCGAGATTTAGTATTCACAATATATTTTCTTGACGAAAATACAATTGATGTTTAATGATTACGTATTATTGTTTAAGATTGCTCTCCTATAGTTGGAAAATTTTCTTTTTCTAGCGAATTTAACCATATTTTCATGATAAAGTTGTGAAGATTGTTGAATCATTGTTAGACCACCATTAGAAACTTGGAAACACTGGACGGCGATTTCTTCCTGATGTGAGACTGTTCAGCAATGAGCACCCACGAAACCGAAGGTCCTGGGTTCGATTCCTACGAACTAGGGTCTTCGATAAGCACAACCGATGAGTCTCATGATAGAACAGAATGACACTCCAGTGCTTCCTGGCTCCTAATGGTGGTCTAACTATTCATGACTTATCTTTTTTTCAATCAGTAGAAATATGGAGTATTTGATTATTTACAATTTACTGTAAGTTACATCCTCAGAAAATAAATTAACGTAAATTGAAATAGCTATAGAGGAACTAATCTAACTAGTTGTTATAATCGAAACACGTCCAGTCATGCTATCGGAACATTATTCAAGCCGATGTGTGATTTCTGTGTATGTATGTATGTATGTATGTATGTGTGCATGTGTGTTGATGTAAATCTGAATGGGGTGTAAGAGAAATTGTAGTGTGATAACGTAAGGAATAAGATAGTAGCATGATCAAACTTGTTTTGACTTCGTTGATTTAGAAATGACAATAATCACGTTAACTAATTAGAGGTAAATGAAAAAAAGAATGAGGAATTCATTAATCTATTTTCCATGCCCTATGAATGTTTTGAATACAGTAGTTTTTGGGCATATTCAGTTCAGTTGATGTGTGAATAATGAATAGAAGAATGTACATTTGTTTAAAACATCTACAGTTAGCCATATTTTTTTCTTGGAATGAACCATATCTCATTGAAGAAAACAAGAGTGTTTGACAGTTTGAGGTTGAAATAAAGTATCAAATGAACATTATACTCTTATACGTATACACACTCAGTTATTACAAAAAAATTAATCAAAATAAGCAGGAATACTATACAATAATTGATCATTGAACAATGAATGAATAATCCGGAGCTGAAAAGCGTAATGCAATCATCATTTATAAACAAAGACGAAACATGTTGTAATTGGGCTATAAAAGTTCACAATAAATGACACGACATTGCAAAGATAATTTTTTGGAATATTTCTGTTGAAACAATAAAATGTCATAGATTCTATTTTCTAAAATTTCCATTTATCTTAACATTGAATTTAGTCATTCCAGAGATTTGTGTTTAGAAGTCTATCGTGGTAATAAAAACGATTTCGAGCCGTCATCAAGTGTCAATTCAATACTTTATAGAATGTGTAAGTCATTTAACATGCACTTGATTTAACTGTATTATTTTGATATTTTGACATGAATAGTTTTAAAAAAAACATCTCTCCATAATACAGACTGAAGTTAGAAAAGCCATGGTTATAGAATTATTCTGTAAATTTCCAAGTTAGATGAAATAACTCCACCCGAAACCCTTCTAGTGTTACTGTCGATATCAAACTGGGATAGAGGAAAAGAGTTAGGAATGGAATTTGCGACTTCATCACGGAGAAAACGACTTTGCTAGCAAACGCTGAGCTGAAAGTCATTTTGACGTCAAATGCCATGATACGATCGAGATTGGGGGGAGAGTCCACTCTCTCTCTCTCTCTCAAAAATGGTCTCATATGACCCGAGTACAGAGCCATTGCCAGCTTCTCGTGGTGGTTGTAATGTCAACGAAGTTGAGAGAAGGAAAAGCTAGTGTCCGGCTCTGTAGCCGGGTTGTTGGGTGCCTTGGCAGGTTAATCTAAAGGGGTTGGAATACCGTGACTCTAAGATGATGGTGCACATAGGCTCCAGGATCATGACAGAACGAATGGCGTATGAACCTATTGTTGGTCATTAACTACCATGGGATTGCATCTCCTGATTTCAAGCTATCGCTTTGTGGATTGGACCTTAAAGACGCAGAATGATCCCCAAGAAAAGCAGCTGCTTTGATTCGGGCACCCGGTCAGTATGCCAGTTCAGACACAAATTCAATGGTCTGTGTGGCGCATAAATATTTAGGTGTCTCTTTATACCAATAACTATTTGTTTAAATAAAATAACTTCAAATCATTCAATATCTACCCTGAGATTAAAATGGTCTTCATTCAGAAGAATTATGACGTCTCATGGCAAAAGCAGTTCTCTTCAAAAGCCGTGAGATCGATGCTCTTTTTGAAAAGAGCAACAGTTAATATTGGTGCCGGGAATTTTCGTGAGAGAGTTGGATGACCATCCAAATAACTGCAAAAGTCAAAAGATACAACTTGGTGGTGCTTGGAATAGGTGGAATCCATTTGGATGCACTCTGGGAGTTAAGCGTTCACATGCGAGATGAGAAATCCTGAGTTATATTTCCGAGCACAGGGTTGTGAACATACACTACTGATGAGTCCCATACTAGGACGGCATGGCCGTCTACTGTTTTCAGGTTTCCGATAGTGATCTAACTCTGTACGACTCGTCATTCCAATGGAACTCAGTAATTCCCAAAAAAGCTATACCGACAATCATAAGAATGAATTGTACTTCATAATAACTGAAAAGGAGAGCCCAAGACAAAGTAAATTAAAGAATTCCGGTTGACGACCTATGCTCCACGGTCTAGGGAATAGGTGCGAGTAAGTTAAGAAGGCGAAACGGTTTTTCCTTGATCTTACTACCCACCACAGTCCTGCTTTACTCAAATATATGATTGAATGGTAACACCAAGTAAACTCAGTTAGAGTAAACATATATCAGTAAGGATTGATGAATTGCAGTGCTTGATATTATCAACAAGAGAAAATAAACATTTCGACTGATGTTGATCAATGTCTTTCATTTTCCTAAATAATTAATCTATATCTGAGTAGCAACTAGTATCATAACTATCCAGTCCTCTAGAGTTAATTGAATTATGTTGATCGAATCACAATGCGGCCGATAATTTAAATGAATCAACATCATGTGTTGAATATTGAAATGTGAGGTGTTAGACAGGAAATCCTAGTTGATATGTTTGTTTGGCACCCTTCAGACAATCACCTACATATAATCTTAAACGGACTGGTGATGTCTATAATTTAGAACTGGTTACTTTAACAAACACCAGGCAGCTATTTTCGGAAAAAGAGCATTGTTATATATCGATTTTTATGTGGAAGGAAGCAAATTGTTTTAAGAAAGTACATCTATGGATTTTGTATGTGTAAGCTATGGTAAAACTTAATATCACAGGAAATGCTTTTTGAATCATTAGACACTTTTGTACAACTCTAGTCTGGTTAAATGAAATCGCTTTTGACTTTTCATTTATAACTTTAGCAGCACAGAAAGATATACGCAGAGAAGTAGATAAGCTTATCTATGAATCATGAGTTTGAAGATAAAACCTTGGTGAAAACAGAAAGATTATCATCCTCTGAAGATTGTAACCATATATGACTGTCGCTGGTTTTTGTCTCACAACAAACTTAAAAACTATTTACTATTTGTAAGCATAGTGAACTAGAGTACTACTCAAAGAATAGTGCACATATGTATAGAATGAGGTATAATGGATATACTATCAGTTCTCATAGTTTCAACCTTTTTTTTACTTGAGATATTGGTGAACAATACAGTTCCCGTACTTAGAAGGCAAAAATATGTAAAAGCAGTTTCATTAGTCGATTACAGTAGTATAAGTTAGAAGATACCTCCTACTTTACGCTTAAATATCGGCCTATATACAACTTTACTGAAGTTGAGATGATGGGGGAAAATTTTTAGCTCAAGTGGATGATGATTATGATGGAGTTTCGTTCTTTGAGTCTCAACATACACAAAGGAAAAAGTAAAATTCTCAGATGCAACACAACATGCACCAACCAAATCACTCTTGATGGAGATGCCTTGGAGGACGTTAACACCTTTACATATCTGGGCAGCATCATCGACAACCAAGGTGGATTCGATGCAGATGTGAGGGCGTGGATCGGCAAAGCAAGAGCTGCATTTTTATAATTGAAAAATATCTGGAACTCCAAACAACTTTCAACCAAAATCAGGATTTTCAATACAAATGTCAAAACAGTTCTACTGTATGGAGCGGAAACATGGAGAACTACGAAAGGCACCATCCAGAAGATACAAGTGTTTATTAACAGATGTCTTCGCAAAATACTTCGTATTCCTTGGCCAGACACCATCAGCAACAACGTACTGTAGGAGAGAACAAACCAGATTCCAGTGGAGGAGGAAATCCGGAAGAAGCGGTGGAAATGGAAAGGACACACGCTGCGAAAAGCACCAAACTGAGTCACAAGACAAGCCGTCACATGGAACTCTCAAGGCAAAAGGAAAAGAGGAGGCCAAGGAACACATTACGCCGAGAAATAGAGAAGGATGTCAGGAGAATGAACAAAAGTTGCATGGGACTGGAGAGGGAAGCCCAGGACAGAGTAGGTTGGCGAAAACTGGTGGGCGGCCTATTCTCCATTGGGGGTTACAAGCGTAAGTAAGTAAGTAAGTAAGTCGTTCTTTGAGCTGGATGTTTTGATTTTGTTTATCTGAAAACAAAACATCATCAGTACAAACTTCCAGCAGAAGTCAAGTATCCGAATTTCTTCACTTATGACTCGTAGTTAGAAGAAGAATAGCGAAAGCTCCACAACCAAAACTTCCATGTCACAGAGTGAAACTCCATTCATTTACTTATTATCCGTTTCACTTTGATGAATGTTTCAGTTACGATGCGCTTTCAATATTGGTTGAGACTATTGATCGTTTCTTTGTCTTTTTCATAAAACAATTCAATACATTTGAAGCTTTCGCTGGAAAACATCTATCAACAGATTTTTGTCAATTCAATGATGATAACCTAATATCCGGTCATACAATTTATCCACTGAGAGCGAATATATTAATCCGAAATACAGTTGATAAAAGTAAGCATAATATGTGTGTAAAATTAAGAAAAAAAATATTATGTTTTGATTAGTTCATGATTGACATCATCCTACATTATCTTGGAAAAGTCTTCAGAAACTGGAAAAAGGCTGTAAATACTTAGGTTCACAATCAGAGTTAAATAGAACATTACCAAAAAGTTGGGAAAAAGGAGGGATAGATTATTTATGAAATCCTCGTTAAATTGTTAACTATTTTGTCACTTGTACTGTGTGTGTGTGTTTAGAAATAAGTCGAGCCCACAGGGTTTGTCCCAGCCTTTGGACAAATTAACTTAGTAATTTTTGTCGAGTCATTCTTTTACACGTCTTTTAATTTGGTCGCTTATATCCTTGCTTATTTTTACTTGAGTACACATGTGCTTGCTTACTTCACTTATCACAAGTGTGGCCTTTTTGGTTTGACATCCAGTTATGCTTCATCACATTCAGTTGGCTCACTCTCCCTCTTCATTTCGCTTCGCTTTGCTTGTACGCCTTACATTCTCGTTTGTCTGCTTAACTGAATGCATGAAATAAACTCGTCAAATTGAAGCCATATTTGGCGTCTTATTGTAGTGAAGGAGAACACAGGTGGGGCAACCGAATTGTATTTAACGAAATTACAGAGTTACTCAGGAAAATTGGAAAACCATATCGTAAATCGTTCATTTGCAAAATAACATTTCATCATATCGAACTGGACTGTTCCTGTTGCAAAACATCAATCCATTGTCACTCACTATTCATGCGTTTCATACAAATTCCATTGTTTTCTAACTCTTCCTTTCTTGATCTTCCCCCATCTTCTGCTGCCAGACAATACGTTGACACTCACGTCATATACTACTTATAAGTAGCTCGCACCACATTATCACCGCTGTCGCCTAAATGGGGTTCGCCTAAGCATGGTATTAGGAATTTAAATGGAAGATTTATTTCACAGCATATTTAATTGCTCGTCTGAATTAGCGTCAGGCCACGGGTCACTAAACACTAGCTAGTTTCAACACCGTTCCAGAAGATTCTCAATGATCAAAGTCATGTCAAAAGATCAATATCCTTGTCTACTGTAATTTAACTAACTTTGGAAGTATAATTCCCGCCAAAATTCTTGCGTATTTTCATTCGGTTTTCAGTATAAGATATTTCTAGGGAACTGGAATGCGGTTAAAAGTTCAAGTACCAGACTTAAACACTAAGAGTATATTTATAGAAAGGTAATGTTAACAATACATATCTGTCTGTTTACTATTTCAACAAGCATCACTCACTGTTATCAGACTGAACAACTGACACCAGCAGTCCCATTTGCGTTAAAATCTTAAATTTTAATTCCCTCTTGGATTTGGCTTATGTACTTATTTTCTCATGTCAATGGTTAAACCAATGAGATTGACCACACTCAATGTAAACTTAACGTGAAGTAGTAGTATATGAAAGTATTTACAGGTTATTTATTTCATAACGTGTAATGTGATGGTGTTTCAGTAAATGGTTTAAAAGGAAATTCCCCCTCTTAGGGGGAATCATATGGTCGTCACCTGACAGATGGAGAGCTTACTCGAACTCAGTGATTTGAGCTAAGCACATCAAGTAATAATCGCGTGTAGACCGCGTATATATTTGTAATCCACTCATTTTTTTATATCTCGGATTCAAAGCGTCAGGAAACATTCCGATTGGTCTGCTAAACATTAATTAGGCTGGTGATTTCCCATCTTGACAATTCGAGCTGGACATAATTCTGTATGATATGAGAAACTGTTGCACATTTTCTTCAACTGTATCTTCTCGTCGCATCTTTGAGACAGCCCTTTTAAGAATATCAGCTAGTTTCTCCGCATGCCCATTTGATTGTGGATGGAAAGCTGGACTCCTTACGTGTTTAATACCATTCTGTTTTCAGAACTCGTAAATTCATATAATGTAAAAGTTGCGTCCCATTATCTGAAATCAAAACTTTAGGTGTACCAAACCTACCAAATAGTTGTCTGAGATGTGAAAGTGTATTTAATGTGGATGGGCTTCTTATAAAATAGATTTCAGGACATTCAGAGTACGTATCTACCACTAACAGAAAATACTGACCATTTATTGGCCCTGCATTATCAGTGTGTTTATCTGTGTACAAGATACTCAGACAGTCATTCAATTTGACCACCGTCGCTACTGTTATAACACTCTGTTTGTTATCCTATTAGACGTCAGCACAACTAAGATCAAGAATATGGGATTAGCCTGACCAGAATGTGTGTATTAGCCAGTAATCAATGGAAATATATGTGTCACGTCAAATACCTGTCAAACTGTTTACCAACCTGTCTAAGTAAATATGAACAATCACGGCTTTCCTTCGCTCACACAACAATTATGTCATCGAAGTCAGTCAGTCAGATGCAACGTAGAATTTCGTACGTAAGTACATCAGTTCATGTCGCCATACCACATCAGCACAGAGATGTAACTGTCAATTCAAATCTAATAGTAGTAGGGGTAGTTAAGATATTAGAAGTAATCGGAGAAATTAGAGTTCGAAGATGTTGTTCAAGAAGTATAATTCAGTGAGATAAGATTAGAAAGACAAAACTAGAGGTGTTGAAGAACCCAGAAGATAAGGATTTGAGAGAACACTAAGTATAAATGCACCGGCGCCATCGCGAACGATTTTGAGCCATGTCATTCAGGGTCTCTAACCATCAATTATTATCATCTCGCGGACACCAACCAGGTAGTCGACAATTACCGACATTGCTCAGTCCACTCATCAATGACTTCATGGATTTGTGCCATGTTTTGGTTTGGCCGCCCCTAACTTTCTTCCAACCTATTCCTACACTACAAAACAAAGCTCGACGAGGCAGTCGGTGGTTAGGCATACGCAACACATGTCCCAACTACCTCAACTGATGAAGTTTCATTACTTCATTTATTGATCTGCCATTCTTACCTAGCACCCGATTCCTAATAACAGCGTTGCTCGTTCGGGTGTCCCACGATATACGAGAAATGCTTCGAAGACACCTATGATCGAAAACCAGTAACCTACGAATATCTTCTACTCTCACTGCCCATGTTTCACAGCCATAAAGTAAGACGGAGCGAACCACTGCACAGTACACTCGTCCTTTAGTCAGCAAACGGATATCTCGCCTACGCCATAAGTGACGCAGGTTGGCAAAAGCCAATCGAGCCTTCTGTATCCGAGCTGAGATTTCGTCAGTCACCAGGCTATCGGCACTGATGCGACTCCCAAGATAAGTGAAGCGGTCTACACGTTCGACTACTTCATTCACTATCACTAGTTCATTTGCCGATGCAACCCATTCTTGAAGCAAAATTTTGCATTTTGAGGGTGAGAACCGCATCCCAAACATGCTTAAATGGTTGCTTAGGGTGATCAGAAGACTGCATTTTGTCAGCGTGTTCCCCGAATAGAACTATGTCATCGGCATATTCTAAGTCAGTAAGCGATTTTCCTGGTAGAAGGTCAACCCCTGAAAAATCTGACGAGCTTAACATTAACTCTAAAAGCATATCAACGACAAAGTTAAACAAGAATGGAGAGAGTAGACATCCGTGACGAACACCACTTGATGTAGAGAATTCCGATGACAGTTCGCCATAAGCTCTCACTCGACCAGTGGTGTTCGAGTAGCGTGCTTGTATAAGGTTAATGTACTTCTTTGGTACACCTTTCAATGACAGACACTGCCACAGAACCTCACGATCCACAGAGTCAAATGCCACCTTAAGGTCCATAGAAGTAGTCATATTTTACTGAATGTTAGTACTAAATGTTAGTACAATCAAAATAAATCGTTAGGTAAGAAGAGTCTGTAAGCCATATATATATATTAAGAACTACAATGTAACAGTAAACGGATAATATATAAACTAATAGTGAAACTGCAACGTAGTCGATTTTCATGCTCACCTGTTGACTATTATGTAAAGAGATTGGAAATGTATGTTAATGATGAAGTAAAGCCTTCTGTAGAATTAAATAATAATCGATTTCCATATACTACTCAATAACAATAAAACGATATTCAAGTCGGCTGACTGAGCAATCGCACCCAAAATATAACCGTCAACAGTTACGGATTTATTTATGCAGCAAGTGTTTATTGACCCGAAATATGACATCGATTTTGACAAGTATTATTGAATATCACAACATCATTCTGAGCGACCGCAGTAGTTGAAAAGCGCAATCAAGGTTTGTTTTTGATTGAATTTATTTCATATATTCGCGTAAGCAGACAGACAATAGAATGCTAAGTGAAGCAAAGTGAAATGGAGAAGGTGAGTGCGTCAATTCAATGTGATGAGGCAAGTTTTTATTTTCAGATAAAACTAAGCTAGACATGTGAAAGCAACGTGTAAGCATGGGCAAAGATATTCAAATAAAAACAACTAAGGCTATGGATGAATAATTGACAAGGTCAAAAAGAAGTGTATGAATAATAACTGGAAGGCAGAAAAGGCTGATTCGTTTGTCCAAAAGCTAGCACAAGCCGTGTAAGCCCGACAATATAAGGAGGTTATGCCATAAGTGCTACTTTATATAATGACGTAGATTTATATGAATACAAAAATAATTGTCATTTCTAATTAATCTTGACGTTATAATTATCACATAGTGTAATGACCATTCAATAAGTTGATTTCTCCACATACGACTATGATTTTTATTAAGTAAAAAGATTGGGATGAAGTAAATCTTTCATATCAAGCTGATTGCAGTGAACTTCATACATATCATCATGTATGTCAATGTGTATACTAATTTAGAAAACAATATCAAGTTGACACAAATGTTATGTCATGTGTGATGAACGTTCACGGCAGGGTATCTTCATTTTGTTAACACAATTCAGCAACTCATATAAAATTATGTGACAATCAATGTCAACTTTTCAGTTTTAGGTTCATGAATTGATATTTTGGACACTATAATTTAAACTTTATAGGGTATGTGAGACCATTGCTAAGTCGTTGAGCAATGTTCATCACAATGTAAACACGTTGCTAAATTCGTTTTAAAAATTAACTGACCTAACAGTTCAGAGTGATAATCTTGTTGTTTACTTATAGTACTTTAATTAAAAATAGATAGTGGTGATAATACTCTACATCAACTTCATCGACTACGAGAAAGCATTCGATAGCATGGATAGGAAAACACTATGTGGAGGCTTCTTCGACACTACAGCGTGCCTGAGAAGATAGTCAACATCATACGGGATTCTTATGATGGATTCAACTGCAAAATCGTGCATGGAGGTCAGCTGACAAACTCGTTCAAGGTGAAGACCGGTGTCAGGCAAGGTTGCTTACTCTCACTCTTTCTTTTTCTCCTGGTGATCGACTGGATTATGAAGACTTCGACATCTGGAGGGAAGGACGGTATTCAATGGACAGTTAGGACGCAGATGGACGATCTGGATTTCGCAGATGACTTGGTTCTTCTATCACACACGCAACAACAAATGCAAGAGAAGAGGACCAGTGTAGCAGCATCCACTGCAGCAGTAAGTCTCAACATACATAAAGGGAAAGGCAAGATTCTACGTTACAAAACAACATACGTCAACCATGTCACGCTTGATGGAGATTCTTTGGAGGACGTTGACACCTTTACATATCTAGGCAGTGTCATCGACAACCAAGGTGGATCCGATGCAGATGTGAGGGCGTGGATCGGCAAAGCAAGGGCTGCATTTTTACAAATGAAAAATATCTGGAACTCCAAACAAATATCAATCAACACCAAAATCAGGATTTTCAATACAAATTTCAAGACAGTTCTACTGTATGGAGCGGAAACATGGAGAACTACGAAAGTCTCATCCAGAAGATACAAGTGTTTATGAACAGTTGTCTTCACAAAATACTTCGTTGGCCAGACACTTTTAGCAACAACTTACTGTAGGAGAGAACAAACCAGATTCCAGCGGAGGAGGAAATCAGGAAGAAGCGGTGGAAGTGGATAGAACACACACTACAACAAGCACCGAACTGCATCACGAGACAAGCCCTCACATGGAACCCTCAAGGCAGAAGGAAAAGAGGAAGGCCAAGGAACAGATTACGCCGAGAAATAGAGAAAGACATGAGAGGACTGAAGAAAAATTGGGTGGGACTAGAAAGGGAAGCCCAGGACAGAGTAGGTTGGAGAAAACTGGTGGGTGGCCTATGCTCCATTTGGGGTAACAGGCGTAAGTAAGTGGTGATAATGTTAAATGCATATAGAATGACACGGACCAGTATTTATTCCGATAGAACAATGAGAAGACATAATTGATTCATTTCGAACAATCTGGACGTACATGTACTTGTCAAGGCATTTTATATGAACGTTAATCAAAGGTCAATGAAATACAAATTCAAATAGACATACACTGATAATTTTAAATGAAGGAGAGAGGAAATTAATGTCATATCTAAAGGTTAGGAAATTGTCACATTACTATGGAGCATAAAATGGCTTAAATATTACCAGGGTAAATTTAAGGTTATGACATAAGGGGAGTTTTAATTTTCGAATAGCCAAGGCCTCCATAAACCTCGAAATTTGTCCTTCAACATTTCTATTCAACGTTTTGAAGGCTGTCCTGATGTCAACCTTATGCCCCGTCTCAGTCATGTGTTTTGCGATCAATCAACATGGTTTTCTATTTCCCACGCTAATCAGCTCACCTGACGTTAACTAGTTTTCAAGCCACTTAGGTTCAGGTTCCATAATCCTTGATTGTAAACTCCGATTAATCCTCCATGTATATGTGTGTCCATACAAACATGTAATTGATAAATGCAGTGGGATACGATGTAATTTTTCGAGCAATGTCTAGGCCTACATAGTATCATCGACTTAGTCTTTTCAATGATAATCAGTTTAGCAGCGTAGTATGTTTTCTCTATGGCTGCTTTTAGTCTTTGTCTTAAGATTGAACCATTTGATTCGTCTCTAAGTGGTAAAGTGACATAAACATTTTTCTTTTCAACAGAATAAAAGACCAGGCTTTTGTCTTAACTGATTTCTACCAATGTTAATGAAGTTTCTTGGATTACCATTCGAAATCAATGTTTCAGTCAAGAATTTCGCATCGTGTTTAAATGTATCCGTGGTGTAAATTCTTTATGACCCATTGAAGAGGTATTTTGCCAAGCCTCCCCTGTGTTGCAATATTAATCAGAATAGTTATAAATTCGAGCCTAATTGGTTGATGGATAAGAGCGATAAGATGAGATGGCAATTAAATTTCACACCTTAAAAATGTTAAAACACGTTGACAATACAGTACTCTTAAATTTGAACAATAAATCAATTTTCCAAACTAGCATATTCAATTAACATTGACTGCTTTGATGGATCTGAGAGTTATTCCAGCTTGTGTAGGACATGAGATGTTTTTGTAAATCTTCAGACAATGTTTTATGTAAAAGATTCTCTCATACACGTTAGTTGTACAATATCACGAACGTAAATGTTTAGATGATGGCTACACGGTTTAAAGTCAAAGAGTTTACAGCCAGATTCAAAGGCTTTGAGTTGATATTCAACGTGTTCGTGAGTATTCATCTCTGAGGGGTCACATACCACGAGAAAAGAACAACCTCGTGTCTTCTAAATATTCAATGGCAGTTTTACTTAAGTAGCGTGTGATCTCTGTTATTCTTAAGTTTTCAATCAATGTTCATTTTTTCCAGATACTTTTACTCCGACTAGTACTACAAAGTGTGGACTATATCAAATACGCCTTACTGGTACATTGTTTATTCTGAAACCAGAATCAACTTATTTCGGTGGTCATGGATATTTGTTAAATGTAACAAACAAACAAGCCATTAGTAATCGTCTAGGAGAAAAAGATCATACGGTATATATGAATGGCAGATTAATGAATTTAAACCAAAACGATGATGTTGATGAAGATGATAATGATGAAGATAGAAGCTATCAACGACCATGTTCAATAGAGATTAGTGATTTCAATCCAAATCTCGGTATAACTGGTGAATTCGATAATATACTAAGAATTGCGCATGATTGTGAATCGACCATTTATCCAAGTATATTTAAATCAAGTAATTAATTAATCAATCAATAATTATGAAATTATGTCATTTGCATTATTCTTGTTTAATTCATGCTGAAAGTTTTTTGTTAATTAACTTTTGGAAGCAGTTTAAAACTGATCATTCAAAAAATCATGTCCACTCAGGAGAAAGATTCATGGCAATGAATTGTGTTTCGGTAAACATAAAATATGAGTTAATCTCAGTTGAAGTTTACATGGAACTAGTTCATCTACTAGTCAGTGTACATATCTCTTTTAATTCGAAAGAATTCGGTCAGTAAAATACCCAAATCGAATGACTTACTGTGTTCCTGAAACCGACATTCGACTAGGATACAGCTAGTCATGTTACGTCCTGATAGACCAACTAAATCTTTGAAAAGTCGTATATCATCAATGATAGGGCATAAGAAAAGAACCGGTGAATTGGTTTAGCCACTTCACTTTAGAACTGTGAATTGAACTACTCTTGTGAGTCAACTTAGATCAAATGTACTATCCGGAAGCTTAGAGAACGAGACTTATCTGCACTTATGTAAATGTTGTTTACACCAGGATTCCGACATATTAGCTTTTAATTTAAATATCCAGAACTTTACTTAATGAACCACTGGGTTCAGTTGGCCACTCATTTTGTCAGCATGCTGTGTATGCCTAATCACCGACTGCCTCGACGAGCTTTGTTTTGTAGTGTAGGAGTAGGTTGGAAGAAAGTTAGGGGCGGCCAGGCCAAAACATGGCACAAATCCATGAAGTCACTAACAAGTGGACTGAGTCATGTCGGTAGGTGTCGACTACTTGGTTGGGACCTGCAAGATGATAATAATCGATGGTTAGAGACCCTGAATGACATGGCTTAAAATCGTTCGCAGTGGTGCAGGTGCATTTATTCTTTGTGTTCTCTCAAATCCTAATCTTCTGGATTCTTCAACACCTCTAGTTTTGACTTTCTTAACTTATCTCACTGAATCATACTTCTTGAACAACATCTTCGAACTCTAATTTCTCCGATTACTTCTAATACCTTTACTAGCTCTACTACTATTGAATATGAATTGACAATTACATCTGTGTGCTAATGTGGTATGGCAACATGAACTGATGTACTTGCGTAGGAAGTTCTACGTTGCATCTGACTGACTGACTGATACTTATAACACTACTGAAGTGTATGAATTATCCTTCCATCCAAGGTATAGTAAGGTACAATTTGACTCTTTTTCACTGAATGATATTTCTCAACTGCTTTTTTAATTTACAGATCATCAATGTATTGCATCGTTTGATATTGATGGAATTTCAACTATTTCTACATCTTATTTACTACTCATCACATATCTTAATATTACAGATCAGTATTATTGTTTAGTAAGTGAAATTTGTCAATGAATAGTTTCATTATTGTAAACAACAGATAAGTACACATATTTGATCATTTTATCGCAATATATTACTTTAATACGTTAGTAGGACTGAAGATTGAAAAGTTACTACTTCTGAACTGAATACTCTATGCTATAACACAGACTTGATCATGTTATACTAGATACACGATTGATGCATCAATAATAAAGAGCCTGAGTATAAACTAATAATATAAAGTAAACGAAAAAACGCCAATTAAAACATGAAGCAAGAATGATTAGTTCAGAGATAAGTTCTCTTTTCGGTAAATTCACTCATTTAAAGTTGTAGGAAATTCAGTACTCACTTTTTGTTACACTCGTCTCTAGTTATGCTTATAACTATTACGGATTCACCTTAGTCGACTAACGAGAACAAAACAATGAACCAGAGTCCAAATGGGCTACTCCGATCCCTTGACCCCAAATGTACTAGCAAGAAGTCTTGATATAGCGTAGGAAGTGTATTCTACAAACATCCAGCAAGCACACAAATCGCGTTTACTAATACATCATAGAGATGTCCTTTGAGAGTCACAAAAATATTACACTAAAATAACACAGTAACCAATCAAAGCCAAGGATTCCCCAGGTGGGAGATGTGCTCTCAAGGTCAACTGATCAGCCCATGAAATAAATCCCAAAGTAAAAACATTTATCTAGCGAGTTCTGGGGATCTAACATCCCCAATACTTTTCAAAATGATAATAATTACAGCAGTAACGACTGTAGAAAATGTTTTGCTAAACATGATAACAGTAGGGTAAAATAAACTAATTAACAATCATCATGGAAATGAAGAAAATTACAGTTGATGTAAAAGAGGAAACTCAGAGTGTTCCAGTTGAGATGAACTATAAAATCAGGAGGATCATAGAAACAGCGACAAGTCAGCTGGGGCTAAAAGGTCTGTCGAAAATAAGATGACTGTTATAAGCAGAAAACAAGTGAGTGTGACATTAATTGAATTGTGGATTCGACATTTACACTAACTCCTTTTATGTGATTTATATGAATTCGAAAGAGAATGCATACAAATTCGGTTATTTACGAGTTCTAGGAGATCTGCCAGATACTATGTCCAGTGAATCTGGATAGACCTGAGTAAAATAGGTCATGTTTGTGTGTTGTAGCACATACTATATAGTTGTGGTATTTAGTATTGATCCTGTTGGCTTTATGCGTTCGTAGATACCATCGTTAGTTTCTTTCAAATGCTTCTCGATCATTTTAGTCTTTTCTTCCTCATCTAATAACAAGTTTGTCATTTTGTGGACATATAAATCTTACAGTCTAGTAATACTGTAGTGAACGAGAACAAAGGTTGGGCAACCGAATTGTATTTAACGAAAATTACAGAGTTACTCAGTAAAATTGGAAAATCATATCGTAAATCGTTAATTTGCAAAATAACAGTTCATCAGATCGAACTGGACTGTTCCTGTTGCAAAACATCAATCCATTGTCACGATTCATGCGTTTCATACAAATTCCATTGTTTTCTAACTCTTCCTTTCTTGATTTTCCCCCCATCTTCTGCAGCCAGACATTACGTTAACAATCACGTCATATACTACTTATAAGTGGCTCACACCACAATACTACATCTACACCTTTGTCTGCATATGTTTTTAATAGATCTTTGTTGTTTCTGAGTTGTTTCAATTGATTCCTATGTTTTTTTACCTGTTATCATTTGTGCACACCACATATTGGTTACAATTATCGAGAAGAGTAGAGATTTAAAACGTTCAGTCAGACACTAAGTTCAAACCATTTACTTACTAGTTAGTTAGGTTACATTTTCGAATTGCACACATGTGTGTGTGAGTGAATTTTCGTTTTTATTATGTAAAAAATTTTATTCAACACAATTACAACTAAATTCTTTCTACATTATTCATATTGAGTCTCACTGGAAATCAATCAGATCCCAGCCAGTAAACTGATGAATGAATGTACGTACGTACCATTGTGCACACTCAATGAGGCGGTCCAATCACATGTTCGCTTTCAATAGCCACACAGTATATACATGAAACATATAATTTATGTAACACAATCTCAAATGAATCATAGTTTTCATGTAGGTTAGTAGTCAATTGAGGTTACGTTGAAGAATTTCATACATTTTCTAGATAAATCTAAATCTAAACCTAATCATTTAGTAAAGATACATTTCTTTTTATTTGTTTCAAAAAAAAATCATTCGAATATTAAAAATTTAAATAGTGAATATGAAAGAAAACTAGCGAATGTTACTACTTACTATGTACTACTTACTATTCAATTTCGGTTTACTAAAATTTCGAGCATATTCACATTTTGTCATATTGATAACGATTAACTAGTTAGTGTGTTTCGACGATTGTTATTACATCACACTCCTATGCAGAAGTTATTTCTCTTCAATACAAATTTACCATTTTGTAATATCATTCATTGATCTGTTTGTTCTCTCTATTCACCAGCAAGCCATACTAGATATCATCACGTGAACAGTTAGCATACATATATTATACATATAGCATATTTATGGCATGACATTATTATATGTGTTATAAAATGTATATTCTCTTTCTTGGATAATTCAAATCATCAAGAATAGTTTTAATAGTAATAATAATATGAATCATGCAAATTACACAATCTTTATGTATCATTCACCGCAATGTCAATATAAAACTACACCATTTGAAAATATTAAATTCGATGAAACTAAAGCATTTGCTAAATTATTGCTTACTTCATCAAGTAAGTTCATTGCATTGCATTGCTATGTGTAGTACATTTTATTGATTCAATTAGATAAATCTATGCATAGAGATTTAAATTAGTTTCATGTGTGTACCTCTATATATGCATTATTATACAGCAGGACATTCATTGTGTTGTATTGTATTGTATTTCCCCCAAATGGCTGTGAAAGTAGAAATTATGAATAAGTGAAAAGTACACCTTGATCATAGGCATGTGTTGAAGCATAGTTCGAGTACTGTAGACAAATAGTGACATATTGATTTATGATTTTTAAATCTTTATTTGACTGCACTGCTTAGCCAATAACTACTCTAATGCTGTTGGTGTAAGAGTAATGATGGAAGAAAGTCAGTAGTAGGCAAACTAAACTGTTACAATGTGAGTGATAACTGAGTTGAATGCTTGAAGAGTTTGGGTGGTATGACTCGCTAAATTAATAATTTTCATGTACTTCAATGTGAAGTCGTGACCGATTTCGATTAATTGCATTGCTTACAAATCATCTATTACATTTAAGCTTGTTGGGGACGTTAGATCACCAGATCTCGCTTCATAAATGCCTTAATTTTGGATTTCACGTTTGCAAGCATGCACTGATCAGTTGACCTTGAGATCAGATTTCCCACCAGGAAAATCCTTGGCTGTTATTGGATAATGTGTTATTTTAGTGTGCTATTTTTGTGACTGTCGTCCCATGAACGTTTCTATGATGTATAAATAAACGCGATTTGTATGCTTTAACTCATTGTGCTTGATGGGTGTTTGTAGAATTCACTTTCTACGCTATATCAATACTTCTCGTTAGCTGTTCGTGGTCAACGAATCAAGGTAGCCTAACTGGACGCTGGTTCATTGTCTAGTTCTAGTTCATCGACTAAGGTGAACCCATAATAGTTACAAGCATACTAAGTGACGAACCTAACAAAGCTTTACTCATTTTTTACTTCGAATAGTAAACAGTATCGGCTATTAATGAAATCAAACTAGCGCATGTTGTATATTGATTGGTTTGTCTACAAAATCCACTGTTAAATATTCATTAGGTTTTGAATATCTCAAATATAATTTAGGATTTGTTTGAAACAGAATTCAAACATCATACATTAACGTTGGTTTGCTGGAGATAAAGTTGTCAATGGTCATATTTCTTTGCTACGTAAACTTAAACTGTTCCAAATACCTGGAAATTCAAATATGCGTTTTAAATAATGAACGTTTACTGTTCAAAGTATATAACGATTATAATGAATCTACCGCACATTGATTAGCATCAAGTTGTCAATGTATGAGAGGTATGGCTTGTTTATTTGTAAACGTTCGACTAGCCATTCATTCAGTGGTACTGGTACAATTCATTATATCTGAGGTCCCGTCATAAGTTGGTGTTTGGAAAAATTGTTCAGTTGTGATTTTCTCTCTCCCTCTAAAGACTCAAGAATTTCGTCTGCTCAGTTAACACAAATTCGATTTTATCAACAGTCACTAGCGATTTGTTTCATTACTATCCCAACAGAGTGTTCATATGATTTCAATAAAAAATTGAACAACTCTATTTTTAATAAGATCAAAACAAGAAATGTTTGAGGCATCAAAGGTACTTTTCAGTAACTGCTTATTCAAACTATTGCTTCGTCGTTGGACCAGAGACTATAGAACTACTTATTTTTCCGACTTATATTCTTTATACTTGACTAGCTGGTCTCATTAAAATTAAGTTGACTGCAAGTAAAATTATAAGTGTGTTGGTAATTGCTCATATTCGAATCATGATAAATAAATAACATATTTTGTTGCATTAACGGGGTTGTGAATATTGTTAAGTTACACATTTTAAGAACCATGAATCGATCAATGTGAGACCGCATTAGAAACCTGCAAGCACTTGACGTGGCCCGTTTCGTCCTGTATGGGAATGATCAGCAGTGAACATCCACAACTCTTGCACCCCGCGGGATTTCGGACCCAGGATCTTCAGTATTGGTGCCGAACGCCTAACCTCTGCTTCCAGTTTTATAATGACGGTCTAACATTGATCGATCATTGTTTCAAAAATGTGTAACTCAACAACCCTGTAATGCGAATTACCTATGCTCACTAGTGACTAGCTTAGTGAGGAATCTTCTCCGAGTTCTATTGAAAAGTCGTGACCGGTGAAGTTCAACCTGTTCGGGTAGTAGCTACAGAAGACTGTGCATGAGGTTGCGCAACTCCGTGAATGGATCAAGTTAGACATTAACACCGTTAGATACCGGCTGTGGTCCAGAGGTTAGGCGTTCGCGCACAAGACCGAAGGTCCTGGGTTGGAATCCTGTGAGGTGCAGTGCGCACTGCCACTGATGAGTCCCATACCAGGACGAAATGGCTGTCCAGTGCTTCCAGGTTTCTAATGATGGTCGAACATTGATCGACTCATGGTTCCAAAATGTGTAAATATTTTGTTTTCGAAACATGAAAATAGAATTCTACGTAAACATGACAGTTTTGTAATAGCGTCAAAAATATGAATTTCAAATAATCAGTGTTTGAATAATGGAGTCCATTTCATATAGTGATGCTTCATTCGGCTGATCCTTACATTCTTAACGTTTCAAACTACAACAGATTTACACTGCATACTAAATTAGGCAGTAGTGTTTATTCATAAGGGGAAATATTTTCACGGCAACTGTCAGCTTGCATGCCGCATAACGATTCTATCGTTAACCAATTTAACATATTAACGATGACGACATGGTATGAAAATGCCATGTATCATAACTTTGGCCGACGTAACATCGTATCGGCAACCACATCAGTAGTTAGTTGACGACGGCCAAGTCGAATTTCTTCCCTATAGAAAAAGAACTAAATATGTAGGCACTCTACTACTACTGTAGTGGAAGAGAACACAGGTGGGGCAACCGAGTTATATTTAACGAAAATTACAGAGTTACTCAGTAAAATAGGAAAACCATATCGTAAATTGTTAATTTGCAATATATCAGTCCATCATATCGAACTGGACTGTTCCTGTTGCAAAACATCAATCCAATGTCACTGTTCATGCGTTTCATACAAATTCCATTGTTTTCTAACTCTTCCTTTCTTGATCTTCCCCCATCTTCTACTGCCAGACATTAAGTTGACACTCACGTCATATACTACTTATAAGTAGCTCACACCACACTACTACTAACAACAACAATGATGTCATATGTCGTCTTTTTTGATGTTTATTTTCAATTTCAGTGAAAAGAGAAAATAATAATTCTACAAAAAATAACACTCATGGCAATCAAACTATGATGACTGCTGCTAGATTGAATAAAAATTTCTATTCATCTTTCAATAATTTAACCATTGGACCATTATTATTTACTGATCATCGTCATCAACCACGAAATACAACAACACGTTTGAGAACAGCGCTACGTTTCTTATCGAGACCAATTAAAAAGACTAGTTTCTCTGTGATTCCTAATCATTCCATCTCTTTGTTCACATCATCATCCTCAATGATTGATTGTTATCATTATTTATTGATAATTTCCATTGTATTTATTATTAATTTGTGAAATCTTGAAAATTAATTAGGAGGGAATTTATTACTTAACTACATCAACTGATCGTAAGAGATTTAAAAGACACACCAGTGTGTATGTAACATCTGGTTTGCACGTAGTGGTGAATCATTTCATACACTCTAGCTGGGTATTGTACAAACTACACACACTCTCTCTCACACACACGAAACTCCATGATGGTGGTAATGTGGATATGCATGCAAGTAGTATTGGCTGACATCTTTTTTTTTTATGAACTGGATATTCTTATTTAGATTCTCTTTCTGTTTTCTCTACCACATTTAACTTATTCTCTGTTGTTTGATCACAAGTGATTTATATTTTCAAATGAAGTGTTGTTTTTTTTAGAAGAAAAAATATATATATAATATTTTGTGTAATTTTGAATGAGTTAAATGTCTTCTACCAACGAGAATGTATGCAAGTGTTAACAATTGCTCGCAATGGTATTAATGAGAATTGATTAGAATAGTGATCGATTATCTCTGATCAGTGTTTAACCTAAAAAGGAAATATGCAATAACAACTATGCACATTAGCTATAACTATTTGTAATTTATGGTCGATATCCACCAGGATTGCGAATAATCAGTGTATGATGTGGGTTATATGCGCATCTTGAGTGAATTGCTTCAGTGTAGTGTATATATCACAGATTATAGTTATCTGTTTGAATTCATAAGCTTAATCAATCAATGTGACCTGTTGACCGTTTGAAGTTCCAGTCTTAGTACGAATATTTTTGCAGTGGTTACAATTTGTGAGTGTGTGAATCCAGGCTACATTATAGATGTTAGAAAGTGTTTGAACATTATAACTATCAATATAATTTGTCACTGAACGTTATGAAGTACAAAGATTAATAAAATAATTGTCCCCACTGCCAGTGGTTCACAGCAGTACTCGAAAACTTGTAGGGCATCATAAACATGGATCACACTAGAAAATCGATTATTTCTTAACAATCAACTACCTTGTTCTTTTTAGCTTGAATCCCCGTTGAAAGCAGAAATATGAACAGACCAGTCAGCTTTAACAAAAGAATGGCTAGCGATGAGGAAACGATGCTACATTGCATGAAATGGTTATCTAACTGTATTGTAAATCCAACTAGAGTCATTACAGGCTGCCCAACCGATATATTAGACTCACGGCTTATTATAACGAACGTGTAAACCAATAGTGTTTAGCAAAATCCGATGTGCCATGAACTCACCACTTTAAAATAAAGCGACAAGGGGAATTCCAAGCTCAATATGCACACATAAATCGATACTATTCACTTTATTGCTACTGAAGCCTGCTTAGAGTTGCGTCACATTATGCCCACATGTAATCAATCAATCAATCAATAGCGACGTAGAACTTCGTACGTACGTACATACATCAGTTCATGTTGCCATACCACATAAGCACAGAGATGTAATTGTCCATTCAAAAAGATAAGGAAATAAGAAGTTCAGGACTTGAGAGAACACAAAGAATGAATGCACCTGCGCCATTGCAAACGGTTTTGAGCCATGTCACATCGATTATTATCATCTCGCTTGTCAGTGACTTCATGGATTTCTGCAATGTTTTGATCTGGCCACCCCTAACTTTCTTCCGACTTATTCTTACACCGCAAAATATAGCTCGGTGGTTAGGCATACATCACCAGCACATGTCCCAACCACCTCAACTGATGAAGTTTCAGCACTTCATCTATTGGATCTCTGCCATCCTAACCTAGTTCCCGTTTCCTAATAACAGCATTGCTTGCTCCGTTGTCCTCAGGATATACGAGCAATGCTTCGAAGATACTCGATGATCGAAAACCAGTAACCTACCTACGAATATCTTCTTTGCCCACATGGGTTTTTACAAGCAACACGTCTAGTTCATAGTCCATTTATACTTTGTTTTAGTTTTGGAAAAATCCCATCTAGGAGGATTTCGATTATACAATGTCCCCCAACACACAATGACATGCATACAAAAAATAAGTACAAGAATATGAATAGTATTGATATTGTCAATTGAGAATTATTACATGAACAAAATTAATCGGCTTTTTTGTTGTTAAAATTAAGGAAACAAATAGAATTGAATCAATCTCAAAATACAATTTCGTGTGTGTGTGTGACAGACAACCCCACAAGAGAAGATTTCTAAAAGTCAAAGGCATCCGATGCCTGGAAATAGACGAATGTTCACATGGCACATACTTGGGTTTATACACACACACCTCAATAACAGTGTAAGAAACAGTGAAGAAACAAAGTCACAATTTGATTACAAGAGAGAAGCATTTTTCAACCACACACTTGTTGTTGTTGGTGTTATTCACATGTTCGATAATGTCGAAAACAGAGAAAAAAAAGACACCATCATATATTCATATGATTGTTCTGCGTCGGTGATTGACTAACATGGCTTAATCATCCAATTTTTAATTGATTAATTAATTAATTGATTATTCAAAATAGAAAATTTAAACAAAGAATGAACAATTGGAAAAAGAAGATACATAGAAATAGTACACAAACAAACAGATTTCTTCAGCTTAGTTGATATTTTCTAATCAAGAAAACGTACACATGCAATACATATTTTTGTGTGAGGCGTGGGGGGGCGAGGTTGTTGAAATGGTTCCCGTGTATCATCAGTAGTATCGTTCAAAAATGATTAATTATGGAACATGAATAATGAATGGACTGCCTGGTACATGTTGATCGCCCCATTTAACTACTAGATAATGTGTACCACTTTCGAAGACACGATATGACACAGAGTATTGATTATTGTATAAATGTTTAATCACTACCTCTTCGGAGGATTGTTTCGGACTATAAATACCAATGAGTAGGACATCATTACCTGAAAATAAAAAAATAGATGAAATTTGTAGATAACTTTGACAAAACATAGTTTTTTACAAGCAGAAAACAAGGTACTTGACATCAAATAACACTGATCAGAGATTGGAAGAAAGCTAGGTGCGGCCAAACCGAAACATGGCAGAAATACATGTGGTCACTAACAAGTGGACTGAGTTATGTTGGTAGATGTAGGCTACCTACCTGGGTTGGGGTCCGCGAGACGATAGTCACCGATGGTTAGAGACCTTAAACGACATGGCTTAGAATCGTTTGCAATAGCGCAAGTGGATCCACTCTTTGTGTTCTATGAAATTTCTGTATTCCTCATAATCTCTACCTTTCTCCTTCTATATTTATCTTACTGAATTATACTTCTCGAATCATATCTTCGCTCCCTATGTGGTGCTGTGGTGCGAGCTACTTATAAGTAGTATATGACGTGAGTGTCAACTTAATGTCTGGCAGCAGAAGATGGGGGAAGATCAAGAAAGGAAGAGTTAGAACACAATGGAATTTGTATGAAACGCATAAATAGTAATGACAATGGATTGATGTTTTGCAACAGGAACAGTCCAGTTCGATATGATGAACTGTTATTTTGCAAATGAACGATTTACGATATGGTTTTCCAATTTTACTGAGTAACTCTGTAATTTTCGTTAAATACAATCTGGTTGCCCCACCTGTGTTCTCTTTCACTACACCTAATCTTCTCCATTACTGCTAATCCTTCTATTATTGGTATCACTGTTGGATTTGAACTGACAGTTGCGTCTCTGTACTGATGGGGCATGGCAACCTGAACTGATGTACTTACGTACGAAGTTCTGAGTTGTATCTGTCTGTCTGTCTGTCTGAAGGTGACTTATCTCTCAACGGGTTCGGAAAAGTACAAATACTTTGTTACTCGCAACTAGATCTAATAAAAAAAACACTACAGTTAGAGATCACCTCGAATTCAACCAATATCCGATTGAGTAGAAAAAAACAACAACGAGAAAATGATCCACAAAAGTAGATTCATTATCAATATTGATTGATCAAAGCATCATGATTGGATAAAGACAGACAATGTTACCTGCTTCACTGGCATCAACACTGAAATAATTCACACGATCAATTTCGGCTCGTTTTAAACCAAGTCCTTGACAAGTGACCAATTTCGGATGTGATCCAGAGTTTTGATGATTTTTGTATTCAGTTGCAGATGAATATCTGGTCATTGTTTTACCGACAGTTTCCAAAATAACATTTGACTGACGATCTTCTGAACGATAATCGGCAACTTCTGACCTAGGCGTTCCAGTCACTTCAACCTGAATCACAAAGACAAGTGATGATAATATGAAAAAGTCTTAAGGATAAAAAATAAACGAGAGAATGTATTCCTGCATACAGTAACCACATACTGAGTGAGTAATTCAGCAATGACAAAGTCATTCATAACTGATTTAGATACTTGAACAGCAAATATATACCGATCACTCATTTATTTCTGTATAAAATAATCCGTACGACTATTTGTCCAAAATGCAACAGAAAATTAAAACAAACTAACTACTCTACAACAATATTCAGGTCATAAAATTAAATAAATAGACAAGTCAATTATATACAAGTATATTTCCATGATTAGTTAGTCATTGAACAGTGGTCGATGATGTCATGTTGTTTAAAGCTTTAGAGCTGTCAGAATTCTATGGTTTAGGTTGTAAATGTGGCATATAGTCTAGGAGACTCTATATCGTGTGCACCGGTTTAATGTTAGGCAGCAGGTAGTCGACAAGAAACCTTAAACCTCGAGTTGTGCGCTACTTCAATACTCATCAACAAGGCATTCTTGGAATCATGAGCGAATCTAATGGGATCCGAACCCGGAGAAGCTAGATTTACAATCTGAAATGTTTTTGCCACTAACCACCCATGTAGAAATGGCATAATTACAATTGATCGCATATAATGTGATAATCTGTATAATCTTTCGGTGTAGTAAATTCACATAAACAAATAGATTAAAAGGAAATAAAGTATTTGAATTATTTTTTATTATTATTAATTGATTACTTACTCGAAATGGTGAACCACTTATGTGAAAATTACCGCCATATTTGATAGTGATTTCATAGATACCTGGTACAGTCGGTGTATAGAAAAATGCATAACCTTCATCTTGTTCTTGACTAGTAACAGTTGCCTTGCTTGGTCCATCCACTGTGACATTGAGTAAACCACAACCAGCATTAGTTGTATTGACGAAAAAGGAATTCTTCATATCTAGAATGATGATTATTATACATTAATTTACTAGTTTGATTCAATACAGATGGGATAAAGAAAGTTCAATCAATAATCACAGACATTATCAGATTATTAAATGAAGGAATTGGTGTGTGTCAGATTATAGAAACAAATGGTGCAAAGTCCTAAAGTCAGTCGTCAATTTGATCTCGTGTGGCCGTTACGGGTATGAGGGCGGATATCACTTCTCAGCTGCCAACACCCTGGGTGTTTCCTGGGGAACCTGAAAGAAGGTAGATTAGTGTCGGTCATAACGATCTGAAGCGTAACCGCAGAGCACCAAAGGACAATTGCTTGAGGCAGGTCACGCACGGCTTTTTCATGAAAGGTTTTTGAGTATTAGCTCGCTCTTCAAATGCCCTTATTGGGCAGCCCCTTACCGACGGAGACGGAACATCCGTGAGGTGAGGGTGAATTGTGACATTTTAAGGTCGACCTTTTCTAACCCTTTCCTTCCTTGGATGAAGGCAGCATCGCTGCAGATGCTGGTTGTCTGAGAGAAACACCTTACTGCTGTCACAACTCTTTTACAGTCAGCAGTACGACTTCGCCATCGGACCTTCAGTAGCTGCTTTTAGGTCTCATCGTTCTCCAATCGACCTGCCTGGCATGGCAGGGCCTACAGGAACTATGTTCCAGCCACTATAGCTGGTTGGGTCATCACGATAGGCGAATTCCAACCACCACGTTAGGATGTCAATTATTGGATTGGCTTAACCTCGCAACACTTCTGTTCTTAACTACCTGTAGTTGAATGTTCTTATTCTGAAATATTCTCTCACAAAATCAGCATACATAAACTTACCCCAAAGTATTGCAAAGCTGTTTAATCTTACAAATCACTTACCGTATACAAAACAACCAAGACTAAAGGTTGATAGATGGCAACAGTCGCAAGACGTGTGAATTATAAATAAACTAGGGTAGAATGGATTAGTTAAGATGTTTGAAGGATAGGGGCAAGCCCAGTGTGCTGCTCCATATAAAATGTACAAACACTACAAACTCAAAATCACATTAATAATATTAATTAATAATTACAAAGGTTATCAATGAATCACATACCGACTTTTCCTTTACGTAATCCTTCTCCAGTAGCAAATACCATACCTGGATCAGCAGCATGTTGACTAACTACAAGGCGGAAAGGTGAACCTTGAATTGATTTATACGATGAAGTTGGACCAAAACTCCAATTAGGTTTATCTGCATCTTCTATAGGCACCGAGTGTACATGAACTAGATGTGGACCACCTTCACGTGGAACAAAACGAATGACAAATTGATCTTGATCAATAGGCTGAACAATAGCATCTTCATGAGTATCTGATGGAGTTGATACTTTAGCTTTTAAAATATGACCAGCAGTTTCAACATGATGTACAGTGAAAGCTATTGGACGTCCAATCTAGTAAAAAAAAAAAAGAGAATACATTTGTTAAGCAAGAATATCCATATTACATAGTTCAGCTTCTCGATAAGACTCCAAGAAATCACACCTCAAGACTAGTCACTAGTGGGTACACGACGATTGCTCGTATACGGGGAGTTTGTAGGGATTGTTAAATCTTAAAGTAGTAGTAGTTTGAAGATTAAGCGCTCACCTAAACCTAAAAGTCCTAGGTTCGATTCTCAACTGGGTTCCATACAACTGTCTACTTCTTCCTAATTTTCAATAGTTATCTAGCTAATGTACACGATAAGGAGGATTCAACAAACAACTCTCCCAAAAATCAATACAAGTTATGTATGAGCAATACAGTTTGAAAAAGAAAAAAAAAACTCACTCGAAGTGTTTCTTCTTTAGTGGATGTACTGCGAGCAGAATGAACATCACTGGTACGGAAAGGTAATGTGCATGATGCTATACTTTTAGTTTGTGTGGAATCAGAGACATGAATACGGAATGGAGAACAAGGAATGTGTTCATCGTTGAACTTAAGCGAACAAATGTATGTACCTGGTGCAGTAACACGATATAGTACAGCTGAGGAACCATCGCGTCTTTCCTGAGATGGTAGAAAAAAAAAGAAAGAATATACGGCATATTAAAATTAGGAATTGATTCTCATACTTATTTTCAATAATGCACAGAAATATTTATTACACTGGTCACTCTAACAGTCAGTGATGTCAACACTGTTTCATTTCACTCCTAGGTGAGCGAACTTTGTGCGTTTAGGTATACAGTAAGTAGTTCGGTATACGTAACCTGATATCTTAAGGACCTAGGCAGATGAAGACTCATTATTTACCTTATCAACCGAAGGTTTCATTAGCCCATTAAAGTTGATAAGACAATGAAGATAAGTGAAGCAGTCAACAGGTCTACTAGTAGTAAAGAAAACACTATTGTGAAGGATAGAGCGAAACAGAGATAACTATTAATCATTGATTAACAGAAAAAATTCCACCACATACATACATCACAATCAATTTCTGCTTTGCTAGGACCTTCCATTGCAATTGACAATGTTCCAGCGCCAGCTTCACGTGTATAAATTGTAAATTCATTAGTAATATGTGTCCAGCCTTCTTGAAGACCAGAACCCATTGCTCGAACTTTATTCGCCACACCATCAGTGATTGGACCAACAGTAAAATGGAATGGACTCCCTAAGAAAAATATTGAATAGTAGCAGTGACAAAAAAAACGACAAGTTATATTTGAAAAGTACTAATTAATACTGATTTTTACTGACACAACATAGATATTGAAGTTAGTTAAGCAGAAAACAGTGATAAAAATCTAAGCACCTACTTTTTTCTGTTTATACAACTGGGAAGTATCACTAGCTATCAACACTTAAAGCATGAAGCATAAGAATCGGTACCTGGTAAATCAGTTAGTTAGTGGTAGACCAGTGCAAAACTGCACAGCGCTTTTGGTAGAGTAAACAAAAACTAACTCAATATTAGATCGATAGATCATTAACAATCTTATTAGTTTAGTCCCATCTTTTAGTTTGAATATCTGCTCAAGTTAAAGCAGACAATATCACCGATTATGATTGAATCGATCCATCCATGCAACGTAGTATTTTCGTCAGTCAAAGTATTGTAACGTTGTCATCGATTTCCCAGAAGTACATGATTAATTTCCGTATCAACGATAAAGTGGTAAAACTTTCAAAAATACCTTCTGTTTGCTTCAACTCACACACAGAGACGTTATTCAGTAGGAAAACATTAAAACAGACTGAACGAGCTATGATCTGCATGAAAACGGTTAACTTCAATAAAATGTTACGTGGAACCCAACAAAGCATCATCAAATGAACGGAAAAGTCATTGTTAATCGAAAAAATAAAACTGTAGTGCAATGTCAACACTCATATAGTAGTAATTCATATTTAGCCGTACGCTAATCACAAGTTGTATGGTTTGCACAATTTTAGGTATATATACTCAACGTTTTATCTAGAGCGTTGGATGGTCGGTTTACTCAAAAACCAGCAGTTTTGTTTTTCTTAAAATAGTATGATAACAGTGAACTTTATAGGAGATTACACTACTCGTTGAGGCTGTTTCTCTTGGTTCAGTCTAACAATTCGTGCAGTTTACTTGTGAATGTGAAGGTCAATAAAGTAGTTTCCGACAACGTTGTCGTTATTACACATTTGAAATCGTTAATCAATCATCATTGTTAGACCACCATTAGAAACCTGGAGGCACTGGACGGCCGTTTCGTCCTAGTATGGGACTCCTCAGCAGTGCGCATCCACGACTCCTGCTCCTCGCAGGATTCGAACCCGGGACCTTTGGCATTGTAGGCGAACGCCTTACCATCGGACCACTGGGCCGGCATCCAACGGTGTTAATGTCTAACTCTGATTGATCTAGGGATGTCGTTATGTAAAAACACGGTGTGTGCCCAGTCATTAGTTCCCAATCGCTTACACTATGAAAGAGACTTGAAGAGAGAAATGGATCAAATACTCTTGAAGACTTGAAGACATGATTGTAGTGTCACAAGGGGAAATTACTGTGTATGGTTAAGTCATATACGACCTGTTGGCAGTGAGTACGTTTTGATAATGTTAACTCTGTACTTATATACAAAGTTTTATCAACAGTAAGCGAAAGGTGAAGTGTGCTTGTTATTTTCGAAAATTGACTTATTTTTTCAAACAAAAAAAATCAATATATACAGATATATATTTTGTTCACATGAATTTACCGATCGAAATATCAAGCATTATTCAAAAAAATTGATTGAAATTAACAAAAAAAATGAACTTGATTCATACTCATTCCAAGAAGAAATAAATAGGGTAGAGGTTTTAACTGATATCATCCGATTATAATAAAGAATTTTGTATTGAGGTAGTATTGAGGTGAATGATTCAAACAATGAAGTGTATATAGATCATGTGTTTTGATTGAATGTACCCCATAAAAATAAAACAAACAAGACTGAATACAAACAAAGGTGTTATTTTATTTTGATGATAATGACGGTGTACAACATGATAATGCAATTAATTAATTTACCTGATATTTGAACACCTTTATGTTTCACCGAGACTAAATGTTCACCCATTTCTTGTGGTATAAATTTAATATTATAATGATCATTATCAGTGGGAACAATTTCACAACGAGTAGTATGACCAGAAGGTGAAGTGATTGTAGCAGACAAATCATTGATATTTGTGTCTGGAATGATTTTTTTTTTAAAAAAAAAATAGAAAACTTGACTAATATAACATCGGCTATACATCATCATTTAAAATATATCAGATCAATTGGAAGTGATTGTTTTTAAATTGTGTATACTAAATTTCATACAGCTATGTAAGCTTGTGGTGCGAGCTACTAATATAAGTAGTATATGACGTGAGTGTCAATGTAATGTCTGGCAGCAGAACATGGGGGGAAGATCAAGAAACGAAGAGTTAGAACACAATGGAATTTGTATGAAACGCATGAATAGTAATGACAATGGATTGATGTTTTGCAACAGGAACAGTCCAGTTCGATATGATGAACTGATATTTTGCAAATTGACGATTTACGATATAGTTTTTCTATTTTACTGAGTAACTCTGTAATTTTCGCTAAATACAATTTCGGTTGCCCCAACTGTGTTCTCGTTCACTACAAGCTGTGTAAACTGAAGAAGAGTCTATAACAAAAATATAGACATTACACATGGGGAAATCGATATGATTATTTTTCCCAAATACATTTCCCTGTTTATTACAACAGATTCAGTGGTGCTAAACCAGTCAGGCATTAATTAGTTAAGAGATGATTTGAAAGTCTTGAGTTCAATCCTCCTAGTGCACAATACTTAGGGTATACATCTCAGCTTCAGTATAGAAAAGCCATTATTCTAGTGTGGTCTGGTTTTGACCAAGAGTACTTGAACTGAAATGAGATCATGTAGGGATGAATACGAATTGAATGTTATTTGTTTCAGTCAAAAGTATACATTCATAAATATACAATTATTTGATTTCGAATGAAATTTAGTGTTATTGACATACAGGCTACAATGGTTGGCATGATGTAATTTTTTTCTGGTTCATTGTTATGCATGCAATCAGGCGTGAATGCCAACTTCAAGGTATATATTTATCATCTTACATTTCGAGATTTGAAAATCAATAATGAACTGAAACAATCTATGATTTTGATGATTTATTAAAACTTATTACTTCAATGTCACATATGAACTCTAAAGCATTTCATTATGAATGAGTTCAAACTTCTTTCTTTAGTGTTCAAATAGTCCAGTTACAACATACAATAAGTGTAAAATGTCAACTTGTACACACTAATAAAATATAAAACACAAATTGATTACTACAAATGCAGAGTCTTCTGACTACCGTAAGCAACAATGCAAGCATGTTCGGGATGCGGTTTTCCCCTTCGAAATGCAAAATGTTGCTTCAAGATTGAATTTCATCGGCACCTGAACTAGTGATAGGGAGTGAAGTAGTCGAACGTGTAGACCGCTTCACTTATCTTGGGAGTCTCATCAGTGCTGATGGCCTGGTGACTGACGAAATCTCGGCACGGATACAGAAGTCTCGATTGGCTTTTGCCAACCTGCGTCACTCATGGCGAAGGCGAGATATCCGCTTGCTGACTAAAGGACGAGTTTACTGCACAGTGGTTCGCTCCGTCTTACTTTTTGGCTGTGAAACATGGCCAATGAGAGTAGAAGATATTCGTCGGTTATTGGTTTTCGATCATAGGTGTCTTCGAAGCATTGCTCGTATACCGTGGGACACCCGAGTGAGCAACGCTGTTATTAGGAAACGGGTGCTAGGTAAGAATGACAAATCAATAGATGAAGTGGTGAAACTTCATCAGCTGAGGTGGTTGGGACACGTGTTGCGTATGCCTAACCACCGACTGCCTCGTCGAGCTTTGTTTTCTGGTGTAGGAATAGGTTGGAAGAAAGCTAGGGGCGGCCAGACCAAAACATGGCAGAAATCCATGAAGTCATTGACGAGTGGACTTAGCCATGTTGGTAATTGTCGACTACCTGGTTGGGGTCCGCGAGATGATAATAATTGATGGTTAGAGACCCTAAATGACATGGCTCAAAATCGTTCGCAATGGCGCCGGTGCATTTATTCTTTGTGTTCTCTCAAATCCTAATCTTCTGGATTCTTCAACACCTCTAGCTTTTACTTTCTAAACTTATCTCATTGAATCATACTTCATGAATAATATCTTCTAATTCTAACCTCTCCGATTACTTCTAATATCTTGACTACCTCTTCTACTACTATTGGATTTGAATTGACAATTATATCTCTGTGCTGATGTGTGGTATGGCGACATGAACTGATGTACTTACATACGAAGTTCTACGTTTATCAACTGACTGACTGATTACTACAAATATACGATAAGTTAATTAGTCAGAATACCACTAACCTGTAAGTCGTAGACTTATTTCACATCGACTACCAATACATGTAACTTTTGAAGCTTCACGACGTCTAATAATACGTTCCATCATTTTCATTGATGATGATTCACCGCTGATATCAACACAAAATGGACTATTCGGTACATGAACATCAGCATATTTTACATTGATCACATATTGACCCGGTTCAGTTGGTGTATAGATCACTGTACATGTACCATCATGATTATCATGACATTCTATATCGGCATTACTTGGTCCTTCAATGGAAAGACTTAAACCAGCATAACCTATGTTTTTTTTTATGAAAAATGATTTAGCATAGTTTTAATGAAAGTGAATAAAATCTTTTTTTTTTAAAGGTAAAAGTATCATATAAACAATAAAAATCATCGACTTTTGTCAAATCCCAGAATTCACTATAGTTAAACAACTATGTCATCTTAGTATGACACTTCCTCAGAGAAGTGTATGTGCATAAATGACATCAACACCGATGGAAACCGGGATCTTTATTAGGTCTTGTGCATCGACGACAGCTTAATCTTTAAATCACTAAATTTGCACCATCGACTTGTACGAGATATTGTGCAACCAACCATCATCTGAATACCATGGCTTAGATAATTAATTCACAAACATCCAACATAACTGAACTTAATGTTTCTCACTAAGAACTCATAGCTAACGATCTAGGTTAAGAGCTTAATAACTTTCTCTCACCTTTCATAATTATGGCTTATTTTATATTGTGTTGAAAAAGCCTACTATACAAAATTGTCAAATTTAACTGTGTTGCGGGGTTGTTGTGAAGATGGTTAAGTTTTATTTTATAACCACGAATCGATCAATATTAGACCACCATTAGAAACCTGGAAGCACTGGACGGCCGTTTCATCCTGGTATGGGACTCATCAGCAGTGCGCATCCACGACTCCTGCACCTCGCAGGATTCGAACCCAGGACCTTCGGTAATGCGCGCGAACGCTTCCAGGTTTCTAATGGTGGTCTAACATTGATCGATTCATGGTTACAAATAAAATTTAACTGTGAACACAATATTTATTCTAATCACATTGTTGTACTTGGTTCGTGAATTGGCTGATTGGAAAACTTTATATCTGTTGGCTATCACTTGAATGATGAACACATTTTAAAGACTCAATCAATGATCCATTGATGAACCCTAGTTTTTGTTGGAAGCTAATTCCGATTAACTGTATCCAAGGGTTGAGTGAGAGGTTTCCATATTACTAGATAAAATCACTTAAGCAGCATGCAAACTTATGCAGAAAAAACATAAACAAATTCTTGGTTTGTAAGAAATTCACCTGATACATACATACACTGAATAGTTTACAATAATCACAAGCGTTAATATTATCTAATACAACTGATTAAATCTCATTCACGTCCAGTGTCTATGAGAGTTTGATTTTAAATCTACATAACACAACAAAAAAAAATTGAGCATCATTACCAGCATCTCGTGTGTCCACAGTGAATTGATTCGGTTTATTCGATAAACCAGATATTAAACCTGGCCCACTAACACGTACACGTCGTGGATCACCGATTTCTTTTTCAGAAACACGAATTCGAAATGGACTATTAGCTATATGTTTGCCTGCTTGATATACACTAACCAAATGTTCACCAACTTCTTTAGGAGTGAATGAAATACCTGAAAAAAAAAAGTTGAAGAAATAATACATAGAAATGCAATGAATTAAGATATTCATATGACCAGATAAACGTTTGAGAACTATGTGACTGAGCAATTGCTTACTGATGTGATTGAATTATTACTGTGAACTCTATATTACTGAACTGATATCGGAAGACAAGAAGAAAGCTAGGCCATCATATTAGATTGGTGTTTCGAACATAAATAATACGCTGATAGACGAAATATATTGGACATAAGAACAAGTATTTCTTAACACGTGAATGATTGAAGGATAATGTCAACTGTGGGTTACTTACTTACTTACTTACGCCTGTTAACCCCAATGGAGCATAGGCCGCCCACCAGTTTTCTCCAACCAAATCTGTCCTGGGCTTCCGTCTCCAGTTCTGTCCAATTCTAGTTAATTCCTCTCATATCTTTCTCTATTTCTTGGCCTAATGTGTTCCTTGGCCTTCCTCTTTTCCTTCTGCCTTGAGGGTTCCATGTGAGGGCTTGTCTCGTGATGCGGTTAGGTGCTTTTCGTAGTGTGTGTCCTATCCACTAACTCCACCGCTTCTTCCTGATTTCCTCCTCCACTGCAATCTGGTTTGTTCTCTCCCAAAGTTAGTTGTTGCTGATAGTATCTGGCCAACGAATACGAAGTATTTTGCGAAGACAGCTGCTTATAAATACTTGTATCTTCTGGATGATGGCTTACGTAGTTTCCCAAGTTTCCGCTCCATACAGTAAAACTGTCTTGACATTTGTATTGAAAATCCTGATTTTGGTTTTGGTTGAAAGTTGTTTGGAGTTCCAGATATTTTTCAACTGTAGAAATGCAGCCCTTGCTTTGCCGATCCGCGCCCTCACATCTGCATCGGATCCACCTTTCTCGTCGATGATGCTGCCAAGATATGCAAAGGTGTTAACGTCCTCCAAGACATCTCCATCAAGAGTGATTTGGTTGGTGCATGTTGTGTCGCATCGGAGAATTTTGCTTTTTCCTTTATGCATGTTGAGACCTACTGCTGCAGAGGCTGCTGCTACACTGGTCGTCTTCTCTTGCATTTGTTGCTGAGTGTGCGATAGAAGAACCAGGTCATCTGCGAATTCCAGATCGTCCATCTGCGTCCTAACTGTCCATTGAATACCGTGCTTCCCTCCAGATGTCGACGTCTTCATAATCCAGTCGATCACCAGTAGAAAGAGAAAGGGTGAGAGTAAGCAACCTTGCCTCACACCGGTCTTCACCTCGAAAGAGTCTGTCAGCTGACCCTCGTGTACGATTTTGCAGTTGAATCCATCATAAGAATTCCGTATGATATTAACTATCTTCTCAGGCACACCGTAGTGTCGAAGAAGCCTCCACAGTATTTTCCTATCCACGCTATCGAATGCTTTCTCGCAGTCGATGAAGTTGATGTAGAGTGATGAGTTCCATTCTATTGATTGTTCCACAATGATCCGTAATGTTGCGATTTGGTCAGTACACGATCGACCCTTACGAAATTCGGCCTGTTGACTTCGAAGTTGGGAATCTACGAAGTCGTTCATTCTGTTTAACAATACCCTGTTGAAGACCTTGCCTGGTATTGAAAGAAGAGTGATACCTCTGTAGTTCTAACACTAGTTGAGATCGCCTTTCTTTGGTATTTTGATCAGGTATCCTTCTTTCCAATCTGATGGTACTTGTTCCTCATCTCAAATCTTCTTGAAGAGGATGTGAAATATTTTCGCAGTTGCTTCCACATCTGCTTTCATTGGCTTCTGCTGGAATGTTGTCTGGTCGTGCTGCTTTGCCGCTCGTGATTTGTCTGATGGCCATACTGATCTCCTCAATTGTAGGTGCGCCAATATTAATTGGGAGGTCCTTGGATGCTGCTTCGATGTTGGGTGGGTTCAGTGGAGCTGGTCGATTCAAGAGTTCCTCAAAGTGCCCTACCCACCTATTTCGCTGTTCTTCAGCGTTGCTGATTACCTTACCTTCCTTGCTTTTCACTGGTCGTTTTGGTTTACGATAGTTTCCGGCGAGTGTGGGTTACCACTCATTCACAAATAGAATCAATATCACAAATGTCCCGTCATATGGTGGCAAAACCACAATGCAGAATAATCAAAAAAGTATAGATAATCGATAAATCAATTTTTAATTATGAACTGATAAACTGTTAGACCACCATTAGAAACAGTCTTTGAGAGGTGAGGGTTGTACTTGCACACTGCTAATGAGTCCCATATCAGGACGAGATGGCCGTGCAGTGCTGCCCTCATCAGCGATCTATTGGCTTGCAATTATCTGAGTTATATATATTGGTGCAGTGTTTTACAGTCAGAACAAGTTAAAATGTAACCAGTCCTGCAGTACACCGAAATCACCCTTAAAATCAGAAGACTAAAACAAAGCAACTAGATTTAATTGTCAAGGTCGGATCACAATTATCGGTATGGAGTACATTCATCCTTCCTGATCTACATAAAAAACAAGTAGGCTGGGGGCATCAGTAAGTACTTGACAGACTTGCTATCATTAGCCTGCCTCGTTTATATACCTATCACTTACCATTGACCTTCAAATGGAATGTGAGCACATCTACGCAATATACTTATCTGTTGGTTGGTTGGGAATCCAAGTCAGAGAAAGAACCACAAGACGCTATTTTCACTTGAATTTCATTAAAATTAGAAAATTTAATTTAAGCAAGAGAAGCGCGCACGCACACCCACACCCACACACATACCTAAACGATTATTCGGTAAACTTTTCAATACACATGGCTCTTCTCGACCCGATGCACTATGAACACTAGCTGTCAAAGTGGCAATATCTTCATCGACCGCTTCCAAAGCAATATCACTCGGTGCACCCATGCTCACTTGAGAACGTTTTAATAAATCACCTACAGACAAAACAAACAAAAGAACTCTTTGTATGAAAAGTAATAACTACTACAAATTATGATTGCAAAAAACCCACTAGTAATTTGGACAGTATAGATTTAAGGTTGTAAAAATAAAGAAAGGAGACAATTTAATGGAGGATTCTATTTTCGGATGAAAAACAATATTCTTTTACTTAAGAGAGAGAGAATGATTTATAATTAAAGTGAATGGGAAAAGCGAAAAGGCGGATAGGCAATCGGTGCATTCTAAAACTCAGTTGAAGTACAATAAAGTGGATGAATACACAGCCGAAAGTTAAAATCACAAGAGTAAATAATCATTTACTAACTAAGTATGATCCATGAACATGCATTTTTGTCTTGTTCGAATAGTTGTAGTATGGCCGTCACTTGTCTAGCGATTCGGTATCACATCCACTTATATTGAGGCATTACGTTCTGACTACATTCAACCACTGTATTAGCTTCATTTAGTAAGAACATAGCACGGTGAACATCATACAACTAAGGAGGAGGAAGTCGGAAAGGTATTGAACTATTTATTGTCCAATATCCTTGTTCCATTGAATCAATACTTTTACAAGTTAAAAACTAAATCAAGTTTACCAACAATTATATATAGTACAAGCTTACTACTTACTACTAGTCAGTCAGCCATTTTATTCATCAACAACATACTTTCATGATAATAGTTACACAACTAACTAAGTCAGTATTCAAAAAAATCCATGAAATTAAAACGAAAAAGCTCTACTTTAAAA